ATGTTGATAACAGGGAAAGGAATATGAGCAACAATATAGGCAGAGGAAGAGGCAAATCCAAGCCTAAGAATTGCGGTAAGAAAGGGCATTTCAAGAAAGATTGAAAAGCTCCACGTAAAGCTGGTGATTGAGGACAAGAAAGTAGTTACTTTATTAATGTCTCAACTGGTGAAATCCAAAGTAACTCCCCGGTGTTATCAGTCAATACTGAATTCTGGATAGTAGATTTGGGTGCATCTTTTCATGCTTGCCTCAATAAAGAGGTATTTAAAAGCTATACTAAGAGTGATATAGGGAATGTTTATTTGGGAGATAACAAAGTCTACAGTATAGTAAGAAAGGGTGATATTGATATCAAGTTGTTGAATGGAATAATCTGGAAGCATACTAAAGTTAGACATTCTCCAAGTTTAAATAGAAACCTTATCTTTGTGATAGTAATAGAGGAAATGAATGTCCTATAACAAAACCATATATGGGATGTCGTTGACCTTCAGCACCAAGTTCAACTATGATGGATCTTTCAAAGGAAGATTAACGACATCCCAGGTATAGTTCCGCTAAAAGGGCATTGATCTCCTCCATCAAGATCAACAACAGCAACTTCAATAGTACCAGAGATGTGATGGTCTGTCAGGATAGTGGCCATTGCTCTGTAAAACAATGATAAAGTACGGAAAGAGATGTATTTTGCCTTAGAATAGCGGGAGCATGTCTGATTGCATATCTTACTCGAAGAACTCGCCTCCTCAATCGGAGGAGGGGTCGCACTGATGATGTCGCCCAAAAGTGGAGTTAAGGTCCTACAAGAATGTAGCGGGTTCTAGAGTAGGAGCATCGAGGAGAAGATGGTACATTCATCGGATCCGGGAACTCAGCAAACGGTACACTCACCAGGACATGGGACTCTTTAGTAGCAGGAACAATGGGGAGAACATCCATAGGACTAGGATAAGAGATAGTGTTTAAGAACCCAAGCTCCCCATAACTTGGGGCCAAGCTAGGAAAATAAGGAACACTTTCGAAGAAGAAGAAATCAACACTCACATAAATTTTGTTAATGGTAGGATCAAAAGACTGATAACCCCTTTTGAGTAGCAAAGAATCTAAGGAAGATACATTTTATGGATCTGAGATTAAGTTTACTTAGATTGGGGACAATCTTCTGAACAAAGGCAATGCACCAAAAAATCTTAAGGTCTAATGTGGAGAAGTTCCGATTGACAGTGAAGCATGATATCAGGATAGCCAATGGGGTTCAAAACTTGTGAATTTTATAGAAGACTCTATTTTATGAGATAGGTGGCAGTGACAATGACATCGTTCCATAAACGCTTCGGGACATTGTATTGAAACATAATGGAGCGAGCAACATCGAGGATGTGACATTTCTTCCTCTTAGCCACCTCATTTTGTTGAGTGTTTGTACATGAGCTATGGTGAAGGATGCCCTCACTCATCAATAATTCACCAAAAATAGAGTTGAAAAATTCACAGACATTGTCAATCTGAAGGACCTGAATATGAGATTTGAATTGAATTAAAATAAAGGTGTAAAAGCTTTGAAAGGTGACGACAACATCCAATATGTCTTTTAAAATTTAGACCCACATCATCTGAGTGTGGTCAACAATCAAAGTCATGAACCACCTTTTAATAGTATAACTGGGAGTGCGAGAAGGTCCCCATAGGTCACTATGAATGAGGGAGAAATGAGCGTATGGAGTGCGTGGGATGCGTAATAGACCCGATAATATTTGACTAACTGACATGTTTCACAACTAAAATAGAATGATTTTTAATAAAAAATATCAAAAGATACAACATTTTTAAATATTGAAAATCATGATGGCCTAAACGACAATGCAATAACATAATGGGATATTATGTTATTATTTTTCGTGTTCTTCTCTTGGAAGTAGTTGAATCCAGCTACCCTCATAGTGTTTCTAATCATCCTCCCCGAATGATGATCCTAAAAAACACAACCATTGAAAGAGAAGTTAGCAACGCAATCAACATTATTCATCAATTTGCTGGCAGATAACAAGTTACATTGCAACTGAGGAAAATGTACAACAGACTCCAGAGTAAGATCGGTTGTTAATAAAATCGACCCTTTTACCAGTAATGGAACTACAAAAACCATCATCAATCCTGACTATATCTTTTCCAGAGCAATAATAATAAGTCGAGAAATTTTGTTAACATCCAGTCATGTGATCCGTGGCTCCTGAATCAATAATCTATAAACTAGAGGGGGAATAAACTGTGAGAGTTATAGAAAGAGTACTTTGTTGGACATGGAAGGTCAACATATTTGAAAAAACTTGATTGGCACCAATAAGCTTTATCAATTGCTCCACTTGGTTTGTCGGTGACTCAAAGAATTTTGGAATGTTCCGGGTAGGAGTCGGTTGAGTTGTGCCTTGTTCGATCGTCATCGTGAGTCACTTGGCAGCAGAGAATTTGGCTGAAGGTTTATACGTCAGTTTATTGTGAAGTTTCCAACATTTATCCAGAGTGTGGTTGGGTTTGTGACAATAATCACAAGTGAGGTAATCAATCCGCGATGACATGATCAAAGCGGATGACTCAGCTGAAGGTGTAGAAGTGCCGAGCATATAAGTCTCCTGCTCTCTTCCTGATGAATCTCGATGAAAGCAATGCGAGCAGAAGGAAGAGGATCTCGACCAAGAATACGACTCTAAACCTCGTCAAAATCTTTGTTAAGGCCATCAAGGAATTGGAACATACAACTTTTTCTACGATCTTCTGGAAGAGGGACAAGTCAATGGGTCAAGGGTAATCGTAGTACAGGCTGCATTTCATTCATAATGCAACAAGGTCATTATAGTACTGGGTCACGGTCCTTGACCTCTGTTTTACCTCCCATATCCTTTTAGATACCTCATTGAGCGGACCAGAATTTCCTACATCCGAGTAGGTATCACGAACAGTCGTCCAAAGAACACTAGCTGAGAAAGAACATGTATGAATGACCAGCTGATGTTTTCATGGAGTTTATCAATCATGACACGACCATGGAGTTCTCAGACCTCCCAAATTCCATATGTTAGTCGGTCTTTGGAGGCTCACGAATCATACCTTTGAGGTGACCGAACTTCTCATATCCTTTGATGAACAAAGAGACTGCTTGGGACCATCGGAGGAAGTTGTTGTCATTCAACTTATGAGTTGTGATCAAGAAATTCATGTTGGTTTTTTGTCCTGAGGCCTACAAGAGAGCGGAGGTTGGAGTCGATCCTCCAATGGATTCAAGAACACATCCTGAAGGTGGCCCAGTGTTGGACAAATTTGTCATACTTCCTACTGCGCTAAAGGAGACGTGGTTGTAATTCTGAGCCATCAACGAATTCTAGCAGAATCGCTGGTAGACGGGTACAACTACATGTATCTGAACACCTGCACGGATGTTGGATAGTCTCCGTAGAAATCTGCTGCTGGTGGGAGAAGGTGTCAAACAAGCAATAGAGAGAACCTTCAAGTATCCAGTGACTTGGTCTTGCATATGGAAGGCGGAGGCTTGTTCCTGTTGACGGAAAGCGGAGGCTTGTTCCTGCAGATGGAAAGAGCAGGGAACCAGCGGTTTGCTCTTGCAGACGGAAGGCTGAGGAACCGGCGATTTGCTCTTGCAGACGAAAAGTAGAAGGAACCAGCGACTGCTCCTGTTGATTTCAGAAGTGGCCGACGACTACAGGGAACCGCCAGTGGAGACCGGCGACTAGGAGTCTTTGCGTGGTCAACTGCAGCTCGGATTTAGAGTTAGACTCTGATACTATGTTGAAAATTGGAATAGCCAACATAATTTTATTGATAGAAAAGGAGGTATTTAAACCCAATTACAGTAGGCACAACAAAAGAAAGAAATAAAGCAAAATAAAATAAATAGGAAAGAAATAAAACAAAATAAAGCAAAAATGAATGTATAATAAGGAAATAGTAGGTAAGAAATAATAAATATTAACGAAAAGGGATTTAATTGGGATTTGATTGTCATTATAAATCTAATAGGATTGTCCTTGGAAGTGCTTGTGAGTAACGAATGTGATTCAAAGAAGTGCATTGCCGACAAGAAGCATAATGGAAGGAGCATGAACATAGAGGCTTAGAACTCAATATGTTTAAAACAACCAATCAATCAATCCTAAAATTTTTATACTGGCTCACCACAAATCCAAGAGAAAACCCCGCTTCATTATTTGTACAATATAAAATTGAGATAAGTTTATACATATATTTTTGTTTGATTTAAAAGCATCTCAATTATTTCTAGCTGAATTAACTTGTCAAGAATTAGGAGTTCAACTTTGCCCTATCCTACTGTTGACTGGTGGCAACTATGAGGTTGTACATCGAATGCATGAGACATTGTGTTATCAACAATTTGCATTCATTTCATCTCCATTTGTTTTACCTATGATCGAGTTTAATGCAATCCTCATAATGAATTAGTTATCTTAACACTTTGCCCACATAGACAGCTGCAGGAAGAAAATTAACTTAAAAATACCAAATAAACTTAGCCTCATTATATCTTTGAGTGCTGAGTGCTATCACTTATAGTACTTGTCCTTAAGGTGTACAGGTCGATTGCTAAGGGATCTCAGACAAACCTCATCCATCTTTTCGGTGAGAAGATAAAGTGGTTGGACTTTAACATACGCATGTTGAAGATTGCTTGGATCTTTTCCTAACGGAGTTGATTTAGGAAATTATTGAAGCTTTAGGAACAAACAATATATCTTGTCTAACTTTATAAGGAACAGAAATGGCATTATTTCTCAATTATTGGGTTCCACAAATTATGTAGCACAAAAAATATATTCCAAGCGAGTAATGGCATCATTATAAGCTAATTTATCTGAAATGTTGAAAGACTAGACTTTGAATCTTTAAACTCCTTGCAATAAAACTATTGGAGCAATGACTAATTTTTCAGAATAAAATTTCACTATTTATTATACATAAAAGCATACCTCAACAATTTCACAAAGGCTATATAGGCAAGCTTTCATTAATCTTCTCCCACAACTCGGCATTTCTCGAGAATTTCCCCTTCACCATTCCAAGAATCTCCCTAGCCTCGCTGACCTGTGAAGTACTTACAAGCCCATCCACAAGTACCTTCATCGTAGAAAACCGTGGCACCCAGTTCCTTTCCATGCTCTCCCTGCACACCTCAAAAGCCGAAGCGAAATCCCCACCTTTACAAAGATAATGTACCAAAGTAAAATAACAACTACTCTGTGGAGCAATCCCTCTCCTGCCCATCTCCTTAAACACCTTCTTTGCCTCATCCAAATTTCCTATGCAACAATACCCTAACACCAAATGATCATAAGTCTCACAATTCGGCTTCCTACGCCTAACTCTCATCTCCCTCAACAACTCCTTCGCCTCATCCGGTCGCCCAAGCTTGCATAAGCTCTGAATTCTAATATTATATATAGACAACCCTGCATGCCGGCCATGCTTTTTCATTAGCCAAAGAACCTTCTTCACGTCATCACTCCGCTCTTCGCGGTAAAACCCCGCGAGAGCGATGCTGAATGTAGTTAGATTCGGCTTGATTCCTTTGCGGACCATTTCATCCAAATATGAATAAAACGCTCTGGATCCTCCGGACTCGCAGAAGGCCTTTGTGACAGTGTTGTAGGTGACAATATTTGGTTTAATACGGTACGAAACAGGGAAGTCGCGGAAGAATTCACCGGCTCGGCGGTGTTTATTGGAAAGGATGCAAGCGAAGAGGAGGGAATTGAGAGAGCGGAGAGAAGGGTACAAGCGGAAGGCGGCGATGGCGTCGTCGAGGAGACCGGCTTGGCCGAAGAGAGAGATGGCGTGGGGAAGATGGTGACCCGAGTGTAGGAGAGGCGCGAGGAAGGAGCGTAGGTGGCGGGGGGACGAAGAAAGGGAGGAAACGGCGACGGAAAGAGCCGCGCGGCCGAGATGGTGGTCGGGGGAGATATATGCGGAGCGGCAGATTGTGAGGATTCTAGAGGGATCGGTCTCCGATTTGAGGAGGGAGATTGCCGCTAAGGCGCGTTGCTTGAGATCGCCGACGGCGAGGGGGTGGACGGAGGCCGGTGGAGAGATGGAGGTGGAATCGGAGGGAAGGAGACAAAGGGATTCATGTTGGGAGGGTGCGATTGAGAGGCGGCGAGGTGGGAGGGAGAAGAAGGAACGACGGAGGACAAAATGTGGCAGCATAGACGATCTAGGGTGGCCGCCTGAGCTTACCTATCATACTTACATACAAAACACAATGATGTTTTAGAAGAAAGATATATCTCACTTTTAAAATGTGATAATAATGTAATTTTGTATGTTATATTATAGATTGGATTGTTATTTGTGCCTATATATGAAAGTTGAGGTTTAGCCGTGAGATATGTCATGAGATATGTCATATGTCAATACATCAAGGAGGGGCTTGGTGGTATTTTGAATTTAGTCAAATAGAATTTACTAAATCTGAATTTGTGTTTCCTTCTCATTAGATCTATCAAAATTCACACATGGATTTACTAAATTTATATTAACGTTTCAACGGAGAGTAAAATTTGATTTATTTCGCTCCTTAAATTATTTTTTATTTGCATAGATTCATGTTAAATCCATAAAAAATTAGATGTACATTATGTTGATAAGCCCATCAAATATCTCCTAAAAAATGTCAATACATTAGAATAGTGGGCTATGTATATGATACATTTTGGGGTCAGGCCTTTTACATGAATGTGCCTCTGACTCAGGCAGCGATGGTTTGACTCTTCATGATTTTCGTATTCTGATGCAGGTTAAGAGGATTTGACGGAATAATATGTCTCTATCTTCTTGGTCCAAGCCATTTTTATTCATTAAAGCCATGTATGCAACGTATTAGATTTAGGCTGCGTTTGGGACAGCTTATACTTATACAGTCTAAACTCGTTTTTCCGTGTATGTAAAAAATCAATTGCATTTTCAGATAAGCTGCTCAAATATAGTTTTCAAATGGTGAGACGGCGTTTTCGAAACGTCGCCGCAGCGGTTAAGCAACCCCAAACAGAGTCTTAAGCTATTAAGATTTAGTAAATTTTGATTTAATAAATTCTAGAATGATAAATCCCAAAAAATTATTTGATAGCAATTTAATAAATCTAGTTAAATCCTAAGAAACACGTTCATAACCCATGTATGAATTAATTTTTTATTTTTTTTATGTTGGTCATCATAAAAAATATAGAATTAAAATTTGATTATTTCAATATAATGATAAAATCTAATTATTTAATTTAAATAATTGGTCACCTAATGTTTTTAAAAATTCATTAAATTAATTAGATATCAAATAATTATTTAACATTCATTTTGTACTAATTAATTAATTAATAATATATTTTAATTTGATTAACTATTAAATATTTTAATACTTTAAATCTCTTTTTTTATTAAATAACTACAAATAAATTTATCAAATTATAATTAATTTGATAATTTATTAAATAATTTTATTATTAATCATTTAAATTAATAAAATTAACTTAAACAAAACTAAATTAAAACAACAATCCATTTTCTCTTCCCTGTCAGCCCGAAACCCTCGGCTACATCGTTCCCCTTCTACCGGTTTCGCCCGCCCAAAACCCTTCCCCTCTCCTGCCTGAAACGCTCGCCTAAGCAGGTGTCTTCCTAACCTTTCATGTTTGCATGAATATTTGCTTGACTATATGGAATGTTTCTTTTGCCTGCTTCTTCTGCAATTGGAGAGTATGGGATTTGATAACTATGTTTTCCGTTTATTTAAAATATCTGGAAATTAAAAGTTATATTTTTAAAAACTTCGTCTTTGGCCTTTATCTAACTGTCAGTGAAAAATAGAGTTTTTACTGGCTTCGCATAACCTTAAAATGACACAAATCTTGAGTTCCACTTTGGTTTCGTCTCTCTCGCTGAGATTTTAGATGAGCTAACTGAGTTTATTCGTGGTAGTTGTGCTTTAATGTCTTAGTCTCTGAGTAATCATAGATAGCACAAGAAACCTTATAATTTACATATCTCACAGTCAAAAGCTTAGAACACTCATTAAGACCTCCGTCGCATCTATGATGGAGATAATTCCGGCAACAGTTTTCGAGACACAGAGTTGCCTGAGCCATTAAATTAGTCTCCTTTTTCTTTCCATTAGATATGGATCATCTTATAATCCAATTGAATATTGAGAATTTGAATCATAGAGAAGTAAAACATTTGAGGCGATCAGACAAGAAGAGAGAAGGAGAGGATTTTCTTCTTTTTTGTGGGAGGGCTAGTGCAGCGGACAGGGAAGGTGCCGAAGGAAGCGTCGGGGCGATGCATTCCATGCTACAAAATAGACGATTTGGTACATTTTGAGATGGTACTTGAGCTCTTTTGTGTTCCCGTGTGGCGATGGTCAGGCAAACAACCAGTATTCTGTTATCGGAACTGCTCATTCTTCTTCCCCCAATCCCTTCCAATCAACTTAAGCCTTTCCTATTTCGATTAGATGCTTTGGAATTTTCAATGAAATGTTCCTCCTGAGTAATGATATCTGTATTACAATTCGTAAGCTATCCATTTTTTTGGCAAATTTGTTCTAGATATATTTGCTTAGATTATGGAAAATGCCTTGTTTGGGTTCTTTCTCATTAAATATTGGAGAAGAATAACATATTGCACAAATTCAGATGGCAATTTCTTTTATGAGTAACTCGTGGTTCTTTACAACAAAATGGAAATTTTTGAAAATTTTCTTTTAAATTGAGGTTGTGTGATTTGAAATTGATAATTTTGATATGCAACTTGTAGAGTGTTTACTCCTTTAGATCAAATATGAGTTCTAGGCCTGTTCCAAGAAGAGAGAGTCCTTGGGGTTTGCCTGATGGGGAGACACGACAACCTCAAGCACATAGATGTAATGATCGCGCAGAGGATGTTATTCAGGTGTTGTTTCCCTATTTTAGCTTATACCCACTATCCGAAATTTATCTTTTGTTTTTTTGTTGTTGCAATGTCATGATGATGCTTGCTATTTAAACAAGGTTAGGCATTCATTCATTGTTGAGATTCTTTTTAGGAAGATTTGCATACATACCTCAATTCTTATGTATTTACATATCTAACTCTTAAACTTCAATTTTTGCAGACATGCCAACTTCCCTATATGTAATTTTGAAAAGCTAAAATGGTGGTATTTTTTATGTGATATGAAAGATTTGGATGCTATAGATGTAAAAAGTTAATGTTTAGGTGTTAGATATGTAAACACATGAGAATTTGGCTGTATGTTTGTAAATGCCCCTTTTCTAATTTAGCTTGATATTTTTGTTCCGCCCCATTATTTATGTTTACATCTTTTGTCTTGCCCACAAAACTTATCTTTTTAACTGGTATGTCTTCTATTTTTAGTTTTATACGATGCTTGGTTTCGGTTGGTTTCATGACTTGGATACATTTCCCTGACTTAAATTATTGATAGATGGTGTTACGTAGTTTTAGTGATACAATGGTATCATTTGTTTTTGAATTTTTTTTAGCCCTTGATTAGAGAAATCAACCTATCTATTTACTTGATAGAATTCTGAGCGTAGCTAATGTATTTAGTACATATGTGTATTTTGGTACTATAATGTTACATTACAAACACTTCAAAGTCTTTGAAGATTCAGTTAGTTGTTCAAAAGCTCGTTATGATCTAAATGATTCAAAATCTCATCCCCCCTTAGTTTTCATATTTTTCCACTTTACATTTCTTTGACAATTTTCCCATTGCCAAGATTGCTAAAATGTAATATAAGGGTTATTATTATAGTTCTTCTATGTCTTGGGTTGGGATAATTGATGAATTAATTGTTGTATATATAAGTTATTTAGTTTTTCCGGACCTTGTTTAGGGAGTCACTTCCAAGTTATGCGTGCCGCAATCTTAACTTAGTTATGGTGAAAATTGAACTGGGTTGACTAAATCTAAAACTAAGAGATGTTTTGTTTTGTGGGATTTGAGAACTTTGAGTAAGAGAATGAGAGATTTATTGAACTTAATAATTAAGCAAAAAGTAATGAGTTCTTTTTGCAAAATCAATTAAATAAAAATATAAATCTAATGATAATGGAGAATGTTGTACATTACTGTATGTTGCTAAGGTTAATGGTAGAATTCAATTTGGATAATGCTGGCTAGTGAGATGAAATATAAGATTGTTAAATTGAATAGGGTTAACGTTAGGGTGATTGTTAACTTAAGTGATGATGTCGACAATATAGATGTGATTAGTGTTTATGCTCCTCAATCATGATTAAAATATAGGTCGAATAATGTTCTTTTGGAATATCTATTAACTATTGTAATATACAGTTGATGAAGAAAACATATTTATTAGGTTTGGCTTAATTGATATATATGCTCCAGTAGGATTGGTTAGGGGAGAAATCATGTTGAGTTGGTAATTGGAAGTAAAAATGCGTTTGTAGAAACATTAATTTGATTTCATAGCAGCATTTGATCCCTCCATAATGTTTATGTATGAGAAGAAATGAGAGTTGCACTTAATATTTTTTAAAGTAATCAGAAATACATTTCCTTTTTCTTCACTAGGAGTGAAAAAAAATATATTTTGTGTATGCTGTAAATCGGTTCCAGGAGCAATTTTGACTACGCAATATGTAAATAATAACTGGAGGTCTCCAAACTCTGCAAATTACAGGTAAAGGCCCTAAAATATTTTATTTATGGCTGAAAGTCTCTGTCGCGACTGTTGCAATGCTTTTCGTCTTCTCTGTCGACCAACTTATCCCTCACATCTATGGCAGTGATCATGATTCTCCTATGAGGGAGGCGCAGGTAAGAAGGGTAAACATCATGAAAATGGCACCTCAAAAAAATATTATGTATGCCCTTAACTGCTTTTTATAAATCAATTGTGATGCTAAGTCTATCAAAAAGCTCAATTAACTTTTATTTTCCCGAAGCTCATTACTCATAATGCAATCACATGTTAGTGATGCATGATATTTGTCATAGGAGTTGGCAATTGTGGTTACTATGTTGAAATTGACCGTATTATATTTTATAAAAGTGGAATGCAATTAATACATCATTAGCATATAAGAAATTAACTTCATTCATTCTAGCATAATCCTATTTTTTGGCTGTCAACATAACCACCACTCACACAATCTAACCTACGTGTTTGCAATGGTGGTTGTACAATGTCATTAAATTTATCTTTGAATTATAAGTTTCTTCTCCGACAATAACATTTAAGTTTCATTTGTTTTTTGTTGTTTCACCCCATGTTTTTAATGATATTATGCTTGAAATGATTATTTTGCTTCTTCTCAGTGTTATCTTGAAATTTAACCATATTAAATTCTTGCCAAATTGATTTTTCTTTCTTCCTTTTTCTTACATAAGTGCATTTTTTTGGAGTAGCAACTATTGAAGATGAGGCTTAGATAGTTTTGACATGTACAATGAATAGTAAAAAATGCACTCATTAAGCTTAGGTAAGCTTAGAGTCATACGGGTTAGAAGAAAATGATTATAGATCTATGGTAACATAGATAGAAATTACTCAGAGATATCTGAGGAGAATACGTTCAACACCTTAAGCAGATCTCTAGTAACGACTAATTGAAATATAAGTTCATAAAGAGAACCTTATTTAGCTTAAAGTTGATGATGATAAGAATTTTTTTTTTCTTTTTTGGGTTGGCAATCAAGTGTGCTATATCATGATGTTCTAGCTGCCAAGCGATCTTGTACATATGAAATTTTATTGTGGAAAGTTTTTGGTAGTTCAAACTTTATATGTCTTCTTGTTTCGCTTGTCCAAGATTCCCACTTTACTAAATCAAACTGTAGACTTTGTTGGTTCAACAAACTAAGGGTCTGTTTTGGGAGTTGCAGCTTATCAATAATCTGTTGTTCAGCAGCTGATCCGGATGAGCTGCTGTTCAACAGCTGATCCGGATAAGCTGGCTGGCAGTTTGATTTATGTTGTTGAAAAACAGCTGTTTTGAAGTTGTTTCTGGATAAATGACAATTCTGCCTCTGTACAGTAATATTGTTTACAACAGAACTGTCATAGCTATATATTTAATACTTGAGAAAAAAAAAATTCATAACTGTATAAAAAAAAATGATATACACCTCACTTATCAGTGAGTATCAAAATTGCTAAAAAAAAAGAAATAACCTATTAAAATTATTTCAATGTATTTTTCACTTGTGATCTTTGAATCATTGGGGATAATGTAATGTTTAAATGTAGGAGCGGCTAAGAATTTCATTTGTTATATTTATTTTATTGTCAACTTATTTCCTGATTGTTTGTTTTATTCCTCCATTTTTCTTTTAATTTCTAGTTAGTTACACTAGCGCTATGATCAGGAAGAAAACCCATTTGGTTCAATGACTTACACACGGAGAAAGGTTGAGTAGGGTGTTGTTGGGGCGAAAATAAATGGTGAGTTGATTACAATAAATAGATCGTTACATAGCAGAACACTTGTCAATTTTCTATTTGTTAAAGGTAAAAGTAGTAAACAAAATATCATTATGTGTATTGCAGAAAAAATGGTTATAGCCCTTCTCTGAATTTTATCTTATTCTTCAAACCCTTCATTGGAGGGGAAAGTAACCTCAAATCTACTTGATTTTTGTGTCTACCCTTTGTTTTCTCTATTTTCACCAACAGTAGAGTTTAATAAAAGATTTTTCAATGACTACTCTAAGGTGAAGATGGCTTGATGATTACTTATAGAGACACCAAAGTAGGTCTTTAAATATCTACTTTAGCCAAAAAGTCTCAATTTATTGATGTAGGTTCAGAGCTAATACGCCTATTACTTCAACTAAAATGTTCTATTAGGCAACAATATTAGAAAAAAACCAAGAGAAATCCAAATTCCTGTTGAGAAATTAGAATTGAAAGGCTTCGTAATAAAATCTCAAACATGTGAAGGTGCAAAATGGGGTTGATAACAGGCTTTATGTTCTTTGTTGAACTGTGACAATGTAGCTTGAAACATTTACAGATAAGCAATATAATCACACATGGTTAGGTTTAAAATTTGAAGAGTTTAGAACTTAAATGCTCAAAGCCAAGCATTCAATCATGAAAAGAGATGCATTGTAACAACTTCCATGGTCAAGAAAAGAAAAAATTAAAATGAATAGAACAGAACATCAATGAATTTTCTATGCAAGTCACAAATTACCTTCAGGAGTACATCTCCGGCAGCCAAAGTGATGCAGACCTACGTAAGTTCCTTTCACAGCTCCATTATTGTACAACAAAATAGTTGGAAGATTTATGGTCAGGATATCTAGGATCAGGATATCTAGGAATGCAGTCTGTAGAGACAATCTTAACAAACTTTGTACCTGGGTATCTAGCAGCAAGCTTCTCTAAGCATTGTAGAAGTAACTCACATTGTGGGATGCTGCCCAACTATTCAAAACAATCCAATGACTATCAAGCTTGAAGTAATAAAACTTGAAGCAAAATTCTTTCTGCATAAATTCTAGCCAGAATGAGGATTCAATTTTTCTTTTTTTTTAAAAATGTAAATTAAATATTCGGCAAAGAGGTTTTACATTGAAAAATGAGGACAATGAACTGATACTTATTCATCTTCCACAAATTTAAATAGAAAAAGATTTTAAACTTGGATTCAACTTAAATAAGTTCAACGAAAGCAGCATAGGAGAGGTAAGTAAACTCTTCTCAACCTTACAACTCAAATCAAGCCATAGATAAAGGAAATAAAATCATAATTTGCTCTCAAAAATCATATTAACAAGAAGTATGCAAAGCAAATCATCGATCAAATACATATGGAGTGTGAAATACCCATCCTTGAAGAGAAGCACGACGACCTAGACATCAGCAGGGGCCTGAGAAACCTCGCCGACGAAATTGGATCCGGTTATCCAAAGCAATGATCCGAACCGAGCAAACCTAGCTGCCCCTGCATATCTGCCAGCCTTCGCTTTTTGAGTCATTACAATGGTATTCATTTAATAGAAAAGGGAAAGGTAAACTTGCGGACACAAGAAAAGGAACAAAAGTTTGCATCTGTATTCTTCTAGGAAGCGATTGTCATTGATATCAGGGTCATCTTCCAAAACCTCGAGCTCCTCAACAGTGCGCTCGTCGATGCATTCCTTAGATTTGTGGCGGAGGTCGGGATCTTTTGAAAGTGTGAAAGGCATCAACTTGAAGATTTTGGGCTTTGACGGGAGGTTTCCGAGCTGTCGTTGGATGTCGTCCCATTCAGTACTCGAGCCAGAGCATAGTAACCAGGGGTCGGAGGGAGGAGGAAGAGGCGAGCGAGCGAGATATGAGCATTCGAGGGACAGAGGTGAGGGGTCGAGGGAGGAAGGAGAAGGATAAGCGCATAAGTTTTTTTAAGTCCTCCATTGTGGACGCAAAGTTTTGGATTTGTTGGTTGAAGGGTATTAGACTCACCTGAGATCATAACACATGCATATGGTGCGAGTGAGTTAGTTGTTGATTGGAGTGGGGCATTACCTACATACCATCCTATTCTTTTGTATTTACGTATCTAACATCTATACTTTGTTTGGCACATTTTTTGCCAATCAATTCTTTGGAAAAGTAAAATTCATCTTTTTTATGCATAAAAAATGTGGTATACGTGTCAAAATTGAAGTTCCTAACATTTTTCTATAATATTAGAAAATATTGGGATTTGGTTTTGCATGGTGTTGGTTGTTAGGAAGTGTGGATGAAATGGAGATCAAATTTCAGTCTAATATACTACTGATCAAAATATGCACGAGTGATCTGATAAATTTTTGTCTAATCTTTTTAGCATGTAGGCCAGCTTCAATCTTAAGTGTGGGTAAGATTACCAAACAACTAAACAACTTATTCAGAACAGAAGCAGAATGGTCAATTTTTCAGAATCAGTTGTTTTCTATAAGCGCCAACCAAACAACCAGACAGCTTATCCGGATCAGTTGTTCATCATTAGATTATCAGGATAAGTTGTTTATCAGCAGAAGCTGGATAAGCTGCATCTGCCCCAAACATACCCTAACTCTGAAGCTAAGAACGCGGGCCGCGGGGTCTAGCCCGCGGCCGCGTAAATAATAAAATGCGAAGTGCGTTTATGGATAAGCAGGCGAAAAACACGAAACAAACGCCTTGACCGCGTTTTAGAAAATGCAAACAATGAAAGAAGAAATTAAATTAGCTTATGTTATTTGGGTTTAGGTGTATTTTATTATCATTGTTTTCATCTCTTATTTATGGAATTGTTTCTTATTTTATTTAACATGCCATTTTCTCTTGTTAACAATTTAAACTTTTTATTTTACAATTTTGACTTGCTTGCAGGCTTGTTTTGAAGGAAACCCTTTTAAAACTGTCCCGGGGCCTTTCAGGCTCTTTTGGCGATGCATGAAATCAAAACCTGGGTATTTGTTCCTTCATTTTCTTAGGGTCCATTTGAGTTCACTTTTACTTTTTGTTTTTATTTTTTTTTTGCTTATGTTTTGATTTGAAACAACATTTTTTGTTCTTCCATTGATATACCCCCTTGATATACGTGCACACATAATTGCATAAATATGTATAATTATACTTACATGTATATGTATGTATAAACATAATCATCCTGCATTGAATCAAACATGGTTGGTTGAACTCGGTGTTGCATGAATCTGGCTTGTTAAATTTACGAGCTTACAAAAACTAATCTAACACGAGTTAATTATTGAACCTAACACAGACAAGTTTTTAAGCATAATCTGTTTATTTACAGGGAGGAACCAACTGAGCCTTTCTACTATCTGCAGCTAGATCCGCCAAGGAGGGAAGAAGTCAAACTAGAGTAACCATACGATAGATTGGGTGTAGAATGACTGAAATCTCCAAAAGTTTTTGAGATGCAAATCGTTTTTTTGCATCCTACACCATTTGTAATCCTTCAAAAACTGAACGTTTTCTGGAAGCTTTCATCCCTCTGACTTGATTAAACTGGTTAATCTGTTTTTGCTTTCTTAAGCTTAATAATCAACATGTGGTAGCCATTTTTTCACATCAAAGCTATAAATTTCAGCTATTTATGTGTAGAATCTTTTCATTTGATTTTTTTTTTTTTTTTTTTTCTGTAACGAGGTTGTATTCAAACTAGGGCTGTCAAAAAAGCTCGTTGTTCGCGAACAGTTCGTGTTCGATTCGCCAAAGCGTTCGTGTTCGATTCGTTCGATAAGCAAACGAGACGAACACGAACAATTTTTTTCGTTCGGTTTGCTAAACGAACCAAACACGAACAGTGATGCGTTCGTTCGTGTTCGAATCGTTATTGTTCGAAATAAAAAAAAATTAAATATATATATATATATATATATATATATAATTTTTGATATTTTTAAAATAATTATATACTAAAAAAAATTAATATATTTTAAAATTTAAAATCTGTAAATTATAATGTAAAATAAATTATTAATAATAATACATTTACATACTATCTAAACTCTAATAATATAGTTATTATATATTTATATAATATAAGGTATATAATTATTATAATATATTATATTATTATTTTTATATTATACATTTATACTGAAGTGGAAGCCCTAATTTCACCTCCTCCAGTGCTCTCAGCCTCCAGTGCTCTCACGCCGCTCTCCTTCTCACGCGGTCACGCCTTCTCCTTCTCACGCGATCTCCTCTCACGGAAAGCGTTGTGAAACGCTCTCCTCTCACGCGATCTCCTCTCACGGAAGCACGAGACCGCAGCTGGTGTTTCTCCTCCGGCTGCTCCTTCGCTCAAGATCGTGAGAAGCTCGCCGCTCTCCTCTCACGCCGTTCTCCTCTCACGGAAGCACGAGACCCCAGCCGATCTATCTCCTCCGGTTGCTCCTTCTCTCAAGATCGAGAACCATTTTCTTCTATCAAAATCGCGAAAAGCTTCTTTCGGTGAGAACTTGTCTCAAAATCGCGAAAATCTTTGTCTTAAGCTTAGAGTTGATTTTTTTTGTTCGTTCTCTAATCTGTACTTCTATTTTTTTTTTGATAAAAGGTATTTTCCCCGGTGAGTCGGCGTTGGATCGACCCGGTATTTTCGTTAATCGTTACTTTGGTTGCTCGATATTCTTGCTGGTTGATAAAAGGCACTTTTGATTTCTTATTTTTTTTCTAAACTTAAGCGAAGGTGTTTTATCCCTTTTCTCTTTTGCTAAAAGAAATATTCGTGCGATGATGATGATGAAAGAATTAAAATTACAGATAGCAGTAACTTTTATGTATAAACCGCCTTTGGGTTGAATGCAGAATCTATGCAACCAAGGATAGTAGAAATATTTATGTATTCCAAATATCATATGAGATGCCTTGGATGCTTGCATACAAATTTAGTGAGTGAAATCTATATTCTGCTAATACGCCATGGAACTTTTGTTTGGTATCCGTGCCTCCAATTTGATGGGACATTTATGTATTCCGAATATATTATGTTAACTTGGCTTGCATCTTTTATTTGTGGTGTTTTACTCTTGTTTCGTTAAACATGAAAGTATGATTCTGCATTTGGTAATTAGTGTGGATTGAGATATGATGAAATTTATGATAAAACGTGGAAGTTGTCTTTTTCTTTGAAATTAACTGTTACACTTGCTATTCATTACATTATTCATCGCTAAGATTTTTGAAGAGGAATTCTTTCCTTCTTGATGAAATCCGGGTATGTGTGCCTATTTTGCTATGTTAATGTTCATCAATGGCTTACGTGAACTGGCATATTCTTCTAGTCTTCTTGTGAGACTCAAGATTGAGGATTTTGAAATTTGTAAGAGGTTTGGCTAGTAAAACTTCTTTTGAAAAAGTCATTTTTTCTGAATTTTAAGAAGTTGTTCTATTTGATTGGGCTTAACTGCTTACATTTTGTGCTAATATCATGATACTGAACTTATGTTGAAGCTCTGAGCAATGGCTTTTACCAATAAAATTGGGAACCCATCAATCTATCAGGTAGTGCGATGCATGTCGTCTTCGAAACTTTTTGTTTGAGGTTTGGCTTCCTACTTGAGCATCAATTCTATCTCAAAGTGAGAATTTTGGATGATTTACATAAATTGGCATCAAACAGTGAGTAAAGTTTACTCTGTATGTACAATGCGGGATTTGGATGCATTGATATTAAGTTTGTATGAAGCAATAGTTTGTACGAAGCAATAGTTTCCATCTTATTACTAATCACGGTTAATCCCGTAACTTCAACTACTGATCCTTTGGAAGTTCAGGACTAACTTGTTACTTTTTGATGACAACTCATGGTTTCTTCTCAATGTTGGCTCTGGTGTAGTGAGACATGTTTATAGTTTTTTTCTGTAGGACAGACTGTCTATATTTAAAGTTTGTTTCTAATTTTTCAGAGGCACTAACGAACACTCCAAATGATGGATTTGAATTTATGAATATCCTTTCGGTTCTGTAGTCCAATATGAGGACTAATTTGTGGTCCTTTCTCTTGTCAATACCTATCTAGATTGCCTCAGACAATTTGGTCTGGCCAAAGGAAACCTGTTCTTTTTTCTGTGATACATGTTGTGTTATTTTTTTATGCAGTGTCTTCTGGTTTTTTTTTTCTGTGATACATGTTCTGTTTAACTTTGATTTAGTAAATTTAATATTTCAGTTTTAAATATTATGTGTCAAAGTGGATGTGTGATTCTTTAGAGGTGTTGTTGGTCATGTCTTTAAGTTTGTATGAAGCAATAGTTTCCATCTTAGTAGATTTTATTTTATCTTCTTAGTCATTTCTTTATTGTGTAAATTTATTAGTCACTTGCTAAATGGCAGCCTTTCAGTTTTAAATATCATTTACGTACATACAGCATGAAATGATTGTAATCTCATGTGATATTATATTTTTGTATGCAGTTATTTAGAATGTCAAATATTGAACATTCTCAATCTGCATCAACTAGTGAACAATTGCCAATTGCAATTCATGATGGAAATGATAGTTCTCAACCCGTAGAAGTGGTTGTTGGAAGCACTAGTACTGAAATAGAATGTAAGAAAGGCAGGAAGAGAAAATCATCTGTTTGGGAATATTTTGTTGATGTTAAATCAAATTCAAAGGGGGCTGAAAAATCATTTGTTCAATGCATTTGCTGTGGTGTAAAAATCCTTAAGCCCAAGTCAGGCACAACCTCACAACTTCTTAGGCACATTAAGGAGTGTGCTAAAATAAAAGCAAAGAGTCAACAATTAGTTAACTTATCAGATAAGAGACAAAATATATTGAACTTCTTGCCTTTCGAAGCTGACAATGATTCAGAGTTTCCTACTTTTTATGATCCTAAAAATTATGATCAACAAGTCATAAGAGAGGTGATGGCAAAGATGATAATTGTGCATGAGTATCCATTCATGATCGTTGAACACATGTGGTTCAATATATTGTTGAAAATGTTGAATCCTAACTTTCAAAGTGTTTCAAGAAACACCATAAAAAATGATTGCATGAAAGTTTACGAGCAGGAGAAAGAAAAGCTTAAATTTTGCTTTAAAAATGTTCATATGGTGTCATTAACTGCTGATTGTTGGACCTCTAATCAGACTATCAGATATATGTGCTTGACTGCTCATTATATCGACGAAGCATGGAAGTTAAAGAAGGTTATTATCAATTTCATTGAATTAGAGCCTCCACATACGGGCACTTACATATGTGACGCTATTTGTGAGTGTTTGTTGGAGTGGAAGCTTCAAGATAAAATTTCTACAATTACTTTAGATAATGCGAGCAATAATGATGTCGCAGCTAGTTCCTTAAAAGCGAATTTTGAATCACGAGGAAAGTTGCACTTTCGTGGTCTTTTTTTCCATGTCAGATGTTGTGCACATATTCTCAATATTATGGTCCAAGACGGGCTAAAGGAGGTGCATGGAATCATCCAAAATATTAGAGAATCAGTTAAGTATCTGAAAAAATCTCCTGCAAGATTACATAAGTTTGTAGAAGTGGCAAAACAATTAGGAGTTGCAACTACAAGGTCACTATGCACTGATGTTTCTACTAGATGGAACTCAACTTTCAACATGTTGGAGTCCGCATTTATCTATCGTACTGTTTTTCATCACTACGCTATTAGAGATAGCAACTACAAATGGTTGTCTCTTGATTCAAAATGGGTGAAGTATGAGAATATCAGAAAATTTCTTTCAGTTTTCAATAATGTCACAAAGATGATCTCAGGCACTATATATCCTACTTCAAATATATTTTTACCTGCAGTTTTGCATGTTAAAAAGATATTGATTGAGGAGTCATTGTCAGAAGATGAATTTATGAGAAATATGGTTATGTGTATGCAAATCAAATTCAACAAATATTGGGGGGAATGTAATTTTTTAATTTCTATTGCAGCAATTTTGGATCCTAGATTGAAACTCAAATTTATTAGCTACACATTCCCAAAAATATACTCACATAGTGAGGTTGAACAAAATCTTAAAATAGTTCAAGATACATTATGGGAGATTTATGCAGTTTATGTTGTTGATTGTAATGTTTCAAATGAGGGTTCTTCAACTGTTGGTGATTCTATGAGTTCCTTAACTCAGTTTGACGTTATGTTTGGGTTTCAAGATTTTGTTGTAGCTTCTGGATCTGTAGAACCTTCGAAACCTGATTTACAGATATACCTTGAGGAGGGATTATTTGTGTGCTCGAGTGAAAACTTTGATGTTCTTGATTGGTGGAAGATGAATACATTGAAGTATCCCCGGCTTTCAATTATGGCAAGAGATATTCTATCAATACCCATAACCACTGTTGCCTCAGAATCTGCTTTTAGTGCTGGTGGTAGAGTATTAGATGATTACAGAAGTAGCTTATCCACTAAAACCGTTAATGCATTGATTTGTGCCTCTAGTTGGCTTCGATCTGCGCAAAAAAATGCAAAGACATTTATGGTAATCCTTTCATTAATTATATCATTTTCTACTTTCTCGTTTATTTTATTTATTCTCAATGCTACATACTAACATTTATTTATATTATTTCTTTTCAGCAAGAGATCATTGATGAGGAAAAGCTTAATATTCAACTACCAGATATATGAAATCAGCTTAGTCATTTTGGGTTATTTGTGCTTTTCTTTTAAGGACTTATTTGTGTGCACTTACTTCATTTCATGTGACTTAAATTTCTAAAGTTTAATCATTAGTCTACAAACTGACGGGGCTGATATTTGTTTAATTACTTGCCTCATGTATGACATTTTAACAAAGTTGTCCTGTCAAAATGCTTGACTGTTATATTTTATAGGGATGGACCTATGGGTTAGATGGACTACTTTTGAGGGCCAATTGCATTTATCCCCGGCTCTTTTCATGGCAGCTAGGCTTATGTTTGCATTTTGGGTAGGAAAAGGTATGCATTCATGAAAGTATCCTGTTGCATGCATTATCATTTTGAGGCTTGCAGCTATTTTTTTCATGGCAGCTAGGCTTATTATTGCCATGGCTGCTGCAATATTGCATGAGTCATGGATTGATTACTATGTTGCTTAATTACATGGATTGAGGTGCAAAGTGAGCTTGCATTTTTAGTAAATACATATATAGATAAAATGGGCTAGATAAATAAGTTAGAGATTAGTTTGTGTGGGGGTAAATAAAATAACTTGGATACTATCTATCTTGAATTTATGCATCACATCACAACATATCTTCTCCCCTTTATCAACAAAAAAAATAATATAAGGAAGATATTAAAACTATAACCTCTAGCATAAAGGAGGAAATCTTGGCACTGCTCCAGGCCATCGTGGATATTAATGTTTTTTTTAATCTCATTTATCAATGATTATTCACTTTGCATTTGATGTTGTTTGGCTTTCAAGCGTCAATTAGAGCTGATTATGATATTGTTATATTTGATGTACATATGTCTGACACAGTTATAACATTCCCCTTAGCTGTGTTTGAAGTATTATATGGTATAGATGAACTATCTACATATCATGTTATTATTGCCTATATCAAAAGCGAACAGCAAATTTTGGTATACTAGGCTCAGTTTCTTTTAGGTTAAATGATGGTAGATTACAACTTGGGTTGCTTTGATGATAGAAAAAACTAAATTGATGAAAGAGGAAGGATTGGACATTCTTTTTGGTTTTTGGACATTCTCTCTTTATGTTAGCAAATTTTGTTATGCTCTACAGGAAATCCTACAGGCGTATATCTTGTGAAAGATGAAACAATTTTTAAAAGTTGAATTTTTTGTCAGCTAGCATTATAATTTATAAGTCCTTGCTTATTGGCAGCCTTGCTTACAAAGGAGTTGAGTATATTATCTTCAACTCTTTGCACATTATAGCCAGAGCCAGAGGGTATCTCGTGCAAAAAATAGTTTCATTTGGGCTGGAAAGTTTTTGGCAGCCTGAATAGACATGGAAATGGGTATCTCGTGCAAAAAACAGTTTCATTTGGGCTGGAAAGTTTTTGGCAGCCTGAATAGACATGGAAATGGGTATCTCGTGCAAAAAACAGTTTCACTTGGGCTGGAAAGTTTTTGGCAGCCTGAATAGACATGGAAATGGGTATCTCGTGCAAAAAACAGTTTCACTTGGGCTGGAAAGTTTTTGGCAGCCTGAATAGACATGGAAATGGGTATCTCGTGCAAAAAACAGTTTCATTTGGGCTGGAAAGTTTTTGGCAGCCTGAATAGACATGGAAATGGGTATCTCGTGCAAAAAACAGTTTCACTTGGGCTGGAAAGTTTTTGGCAGCCTGAATAGACATGGAAATGGGTATCTCGTGCAAAAAACAGTTTCATTTGGGCTGGAAAGTTTTTGGCAGCCTGAATAGACATGGAAATGGGTATCTCGTGCAAAAAACAGTTTCACTTGGGCTGGAAAGTTTTTGGCAGCCTGAATAGACATGGAAATGGGTATCTCGTGCAAAAAACAGTTTCACTTGGGCTGGAAAGTTTTTGGCAGCCTGAATAGACATGGAAATGGGTATCTCGTGCAAAAAACAGTTTCACTTGGGCTGGAAAGTTTTTGGCAGCCTGAATAGACATGGAAATGGGTATCTCGTGCAAAAAACAGTTTCACTTGGGCTGGAAAGTTTTTGGCAGCCTGAATAGACATGGAAATGGGTATCTCGTGCAAAAAACAGTTTCACTTGGGCTGGAAAGTTTTTGGCAGCCTGAATAGACATGGAAATGGGTATCTCGTGCAAAAAACAGTTTCACTTGGGCTGGAAAGTTTTTGGCAGCCTGAATAGACATGGAAATGGGTATCTCGTGCAAAAAACAGTTTCACTTGGGCTGGAAAGTTTTTGGCAGCCTGAATAGACATGGAAATGGGTATCTCGTGCAAAAAACAGTTTCACTTGGGCTGGAAAGTTTTTGGCAGCCTGAATAGACATGGAAATGGGTATCTCGTGCAAAAAACAGTTTCACTTGGGCTGGAAAGTTTTTGGCAGCCTGAATAGACATGGAAATGGGTATCTCGTGCAAAAAACAGTTTCACTTGGGCTGGAAAGTTTTTGGCAGCCTGAATAGACATGGAAATGGGTATCTCGTGCAAAAAACAGTTTCACTTGGGCTGGAAAGTTTTTGGCAGCCTGAATAGACATGGAAATGGGTATCTCGTGCAAAAAACAGTTTCACTTGGGCTGGAAAGTTTTTGGCAGCCTGAATAGACATGGAAATGGGTATCTCGTGCAAAAAACAGTTTCACTTGGGCTGGAAAGTTTTTGGCAGCCTGAATAGACATGGAAATGGGTATCTCGTGCAAAAAACAGTTTCACTTGGGCTGGAAAGTTTTTGGCAGCCTGAATAGACATGGAAATGGGTATCTCGTGCAAAAAACAGTTTCACTTGGGCTGGAAAGTTTTTGGCAGCCTGAATAGACATGGAAATGGGTATCTCGTGCAAAAAACAGTTTCACTTGGGCTGGAAAGTTTTTGGCAGCCTGAATAGACATGGAAATGGGTATCTCGTGCAAAAAACAGTTTCACTTGGGCTGGAAAGTTTTTGGCAGCCTGAATAGACATGGAAATGGGTATCTCGTTGGAGTAGAATTTATTATAGCTGTAGTAATTACTAATTAGTAAACATGTGTATAGGAGATTGAGGGAAGTGAATGCAAGTTTAATTTACAATTTAAAATTTGATTTCAAATTGAGCTCTTAGAATTGAAATGAATTTACAATTTGAACATTATCTATTTATGTAAGATATTATTTGTTTGACTAATGATGAAGAGATGTTTTTGTGGAAGTTTTTTATTTATTGTTTTTGATAATTTGAGAATTAATTAATAATTCTTATATATTTTATTTAGAGTTATTCCAATTTTTTAAAGTTAAAATGGTGGCTTTTTTGATGTGGTGTGAGAATTAATATTTAATTTTTTTTTCTATTTAACAGATTAAAAAATATAAAAAATTTGAAAATTTTCGAACGTTTCGAACAATTCGAACATTTCGAACATTTCGAACATTTCAAACATATTCGAACAATTCGAACGATTCGAACGATTCGAACAATTCGAACTAATTTCGAACAAATCGAACCGAACACGAACAGACCTTTCACGAACAATTTCGAACACGAGCCTATTTCAAACAAACAATATTTCAAACGAACCGAACACGAACACGAGCACTGTTCGTTCGTGTTCGGTTCGTTTACACCCCTAATTCAAACTAAGGTGTAGGTTTAATCTGCCCTGTAAAAGAATAGGGTTAAGGAAACTATACTCTTGTTCGCACTTAATAATTTGTTTCTTATATTATGCATGAGCCTTATTTGAACACAATTATAATTTTAAAATTTTATTCAGACTCATTTATTATTTTTATCGATTATGAGTCATAATCAAATTATAATTAATTAATTTTCTGATATTGATGGATTAAACAAGTAATTATTAACTGAGAATAGAGAAATTTATGCTCTAATTAAAATTTGCATGATCAATCAAGTATAATCTATTTTATTCTGAGAAGTGCCAATATTTTGAGAAAAATAAGTTTGTCTGTATGTAACTATTTTTTTGATCTTTAGAGCTTATTTTAACTCTAAATAATATACATGAGTTTTAAAATGTAGAGTATATAAGAAAATCAATAATAAGAACATAATATAAATAATCATTTTTAGTGAATTATTTGTGATTTGTGAAATAATATATATATAATATATATATGAAATAAGTCATTGATCACACATAATGGAAGTTCAAAAATTTATTTCAAAATTATTTAGTTATTTAAATAAATCAAATAAACACTTTTTTTAAATAAGTAAATATCAAATTATTTATAGAATGCAATAGTTCTTCTAAAATAACCAGGACTCCTGGCAGAGACGGCCAAGCTTTACACCAATCCCATCACCATGATCATAACTACAGATACCTTCGTCAAAATCAGCCTTTTTTTTTTTCAGTATCAAAATATTGATTTTTCTGCTAGGATTTGATCGAGCTTGGTGGGAAGAACTTGTTCCCGCCAGCATAACGGCTCCAAAACCTGGCTAAGAGGTGGCCACTCCAATGGAAATCCACCATCTCCATCCCCTCTTCTTCCCTCCACCTCAGGAAGAACTCCACTCAGTCTTTCGCCGCCAAAGAAGTAAATTCTGGGCTCAGCTTCCTCGCCACCCACCAACATCCCGAAATCTCCCTCTTCCATTCCAAGGGCTTCTCGGAAATCTCCTGCCTCAACAATGGAAGGGCACTTCATTGCTTCTGTTTAAAAATCCCTTCTAATCTCAGCGTCTTCCACAACAACACGCTCATCAATCTGTACTTCAGGTTCGGCAAGCCATCTACTGCCCTTAAGCTGTTCGATAAAATGCCTCTAAGAAATCATGCATCTTGGAATACCGTTATTTCAGGGTGTGTTCGAGCAGGCTGCTCTTCCACAGCAGCAGAACTCTTTAGGCGGATGAGAGAGAATGGGGAAAAGCCCGGCGGATTCATGCTCGCAAGTCTCGCTACTGCTTGCAATCACAACGAGGAGAAGTTTGATGAAGGAATTCAAATACATTGTCTTGTCCTGAAACTTGGGCTGATGTGTAACGTTTATGTAAGCACTGCAATTTTGCATTTTTATGGAAAAAATGTTCTCTTTTCTGATGCTTGGAGATTCTTCGAGGAGATGCCTGAGAGAAATGTAGTTTCTTGGACTGCATTGATGGTGAGCTGCTCCGTTAATTCTCGCCCTGGGGAAGCCATAAGAGCTTATCAGACCATGAGAAATGAAGGTGTAGTTTGCAATGAAAACTCCTATTCAACGGTGATAAGTTCATGTGGCCTTCTTCAAAGTGAGAAGTTGAGCCACCAGGTGCTTGCTCATGTAGTTGTTTCAGGTTTTCAAGCTGAAGTATCAGTCGCCAATTCTTTGGTGACAATGTTTGGCAATATGGGGGAAGTAAAGGAGGCTGAGCAAATATTTTTCCGGATGGAAGAAAGAGATACAATATCCTGGAATTCGTTGCTTTCCGTTTATTCGCGAGAAGGAATGTTCAAAAGGGCATCGTGGTGCTTTTCTGAAATGCGACAGTTTGATTTCAGACCTGATTTCACTACACTGTCCTGTGTGATCTCTGCCTGTGCTAGTGTTGATGATCTGAAGTGGGGGAGGGGTCTTCATGCCTTTGTCGTGAAAAATAAGCTTGAATCAGTTGTCTCGGTATGCAATACTTTGATAAGCATGTACTCCATGTTAGGAAAAGCTGAGGATGCAGAGATTTTGTTTTGTGAAATGCCTGTGAAGGATGTTATTTCTTGGAATACCATAATGGCTTCATACAATCAGAGTGGAAACAACATTGGTACCTTAAAGCTCTTATCTGAGATGCTTCAACTGAACAACGAATGTAATCACGTGACATTTGCCGCCGCATTGGCCGCATGTGCCAGTCAAGAGTTTTTACTATATGGAAAAATGGTTCATGCGGTTGCAGCATTCATCGGTCTTCAACACGACTTGCTCGTAGCCAATTCATTAATCACCATGTATGGAAAATGCGAAGCCATCAGAGAGGCTGAAACGGTGTTTCGAACAATGCCTGAATGTGATGTAATCACATGGAATGCTCTTATAGGAGGATACGTCGAGAATGAAGAGAAAAATGAGGTGATTCAGACTTTTAATCAGATGAGAAGAGCTGGTTTTTGTGGAAACTACATTACTGTTGTGAATGTTTTAGGAATTTGCTCCACTTCTGATGACCTGGAGAACCATGGGAAGGCTCTTCACGCTCATTCAATCTCAATTGGGTTGGAGATCAATGAGTTTGTCTCAAACTCTCTGATTACGATGTACGCAAACGGCGGTGATTTCGATTCTAGCAGGTATATCTTCGATCACATGACCAGCAAAAATGTGGTATCATGGAATGCGATGATTGCATCCAAAGCTCATCATGGCCACGGGGAAGATGCAATGAAGTTCTTCAAACAAATGCTTTCCTCTGGAATGGAGCTGGACCAGTTTAGTCTTTCAGGAGGCCTTTCAGCGAGTGCTTGTTTAGCATCAAAAGGTGAAGGACAACAGATCCATTGCCTAATCATTAAACTTGGATTTGATTATGATCTTCATGTGATCAATGCTGCAATGGACATGTATGGCAAATGTGGGAAGATGGATGATGTTCTGAAACTCCTTCCTGAACCAACTAAACGTTCGCGACTATCATGGAACATAATGATATCATGTTATGCGAGATACGGTCGATTCCTTGAGGCCGAGGATACTTTTGACAAAATGCTTCTGATAGGACCTAAACCAGATTACGTTACCTTTGTTTCTCTCTTGTCTGCCTGTAATCATGCAGGACTGGTAGACAAAGGTCTCACATACTATAATCTCATGACTTCTAAGTTTGGCATCCATCCCAAAATAGAACATTGTGCTTGCATAATTGATCTTCTTGGACGTTCAGGGAGGCTAACGGAAGCAGAGAAGTTTGTTGAAAGCATGCCGGTGAGACCTAACGGTCTCATATGGCGGAGTTTATTATCAACGAGTAGGACTCACAGAAGCTTGGAAACTGGACAGAAAGCAGCCAGGCATCTTCTTCAGTTGGATCCTCTGGATGACTCTGCTTATGTTCTTCTAGCAAACACATATGCGCTGAGTGGAAAGTGGGAAGATGTTGAGAAGTTGAGATTGCATATGAGATTGATTGATCTGAAAAAGAAACCTGCATGCAGTTGGATCCAGGTGAAGAACCAGGTGAGTAGGTTTGGAGCTGCAAGGGAAAGAAATCTATTCCAAATTGGAATGGATGCTGCAACTGGTTAAAGAAGCAGGTTATGTTGCTGATACGTCCGAATCGCTTCATGACACTGATGAAGAGGAGAAGGAATGTAGTCTCTGGAGCCATGGTGAGAAGCTTGCGCTGGCTTTTGGACTGATGGCTTTGCCGGAAGGGTGTACAATTACTGTGTTTAAGAATCTTAGAGTTTGTGGGGATTGTCATCTGGTGTACAAATTGGTCAGTAAGGTTGTTGATCGGGAAATTGTGCTGAGAGATCCTTACAGGTTCCATGTTTTTGGAGGTGGGATTTGTTCTTGTTCAGATTTCTGGTAGAAGAGAAGTTACGTGTGAGAGAGATTTCTGTTTTGATTTGCTGATTATGAGGGGTGAAGCTGTGTAATTTATTTATTTATTCGCTCACACAGATCTGGATGAGCGCGTCACAAAGATTCTTTTATGAGGAGACATGGATAAAAAACTAGAGAAAATCAGGTGATAAGATTTACAACGTTATGTTTAGGGTTTAGGGTTCGTTTTGTGCGAGTAAGGGCCCGTTTGAGGTAGATTATAACCGTTTGGTTCGTGCGTTTCGCCAACTTATTCGAAATCGTGTTTGGGTTTTTACACTAAACACAGGCCGCGAGCCGCATTTTAGGATAAACAGTTTATCCTGAAACGCACAAGCTACTCTAAACGCACCCTAAATTTCAAGAACTCTGTGAAAACTTGCTCTGCCGTTCGAGTTTAACGGATTTTATTTCTCCCGTCGACAACTTCCACTTCTACATATGAAGATCTAACGGCGCCCCATTTCTATTCTCTCATTTGCTTTATTTTTAGGAAGATACATGCCACTTAATAATAAGTATTTACACATGTAACATCTGAACTTTAATATTTACACATGTCCCCTTACCTATGCATGAAAATGTGTATTTCACTTTTCAAATGTCCAATTAATGATATGAAAATTTGGCGTCATATAAATGTAAAAAAGGAGAATTTGGTATTAGATATGAAAATACATAAGAATTGGGTGGTATTTATATAAATGTCATAGAATAGATAAATTTATGGTAATGCATGCGTTATTAAGATACCATGGAATTGGATTGTGTTGATACTATGAGAAGGATGAAGAATGGGTTATAGATTTCTGTATAATATTCAATATTTATCCTAAATATGCAAATTCAATCTGCTGAATTTGATGGCCAAAATACACTTAAATATTTACATATCTAGTATCTAAATTAGGTATGCTTATATAACACTAGAATCAATCATATCATAATATATGCATGAGAAAATATACTTTACTTTCAAAATATGAATCATGATTATATTTTTGATGTGATGACAATTTTAGCTATTACATAAATAAATATTAAAGTTTTGGCATATGATATGTGTAAATACAAATTGTTTGATATGTATGTACACACCCCAATAAATTTATTGATTTTAAAGTTCATCTTTATTTACTTTAAATTTAAAGGAAATGTGCACACCTAGCACACAATTATTAGTCATTCACATATCTCATCCCTAAACTTGCATATTTACATATATATAGCACTTTAGTATTTTAAAATTATACATGAAAATGTGTATTTAATTTTTTAAGAAGTTATATTAATAAAAATAGCGTGCTATGTGTGTAAATGCCCCTTAAAATATCCTCTAACTTTATTTTCCACTTCAAACGTGGCATTCTACCAGCACAAAAACAAGGGTATCCCAAGCTATTATTAAAGATGATCATTAAAGTTCATGGCATATTGATTAGTTTCATACGCAAAAAATCTATGACTAGTAATACTTGAGGAGTACATAATATATGTAAATGTACAATATTCAATATAGCAATTTTATTTGTTCTATCGAATATGAATTTCCCTAAACAATATAAATATGTAATATGACTAAACTTTTAATAAATACAGTTTCTCATATCACAATACACGGTAGGCATGTTTGTCTGGTGCAGCAGGATCACTCATAACTGCAACATAAACTATTGGGGCAGTAAATAACTATTCTTGACACATAATAGCTCTACATATCTCCTGTAACTTTTAAGCCAGTAGTGAACTTCTAGATGTCACAAACATTCAGGAAAATTTATATACATACCACTTAATTTCTAAGTATTTAGATATCCAACATCTAAACTCAATGTTTACACAAACACACGAAAATGTGTATTTCAACGTTTAAAACTTAAAAATAGTGGTGTTATTGATGTGACATAAAAGATTTGGGCGGTATAAATGTAAGCAGTAAACTTTAGGTGTTAATATGTAAATTCATAATAGGGTGGTATGTATGCAAATACCCCAACTATTTAATGTTCTTATTTACAATCAGTTATAAATAATCACTAATGCCGTCAAAAGCAGAGATAGACTGATGTTTTCATAATCACCCATACTCCTAAATCACTGTTATTGTAATGCATTGTTCGCAATTAGCGCACACGCCCAAGAAAATATTCAAAATTATGCATCCTAACTGGACGTAACAGATTGATTTGAATCGTCCGTACCTTTACCTCTCCATAATATAATTTGTTCATCTTTGAACAGTATGGGAACACAGGGCACCAAATCCTGCAGTCGATTGCATGAAAAAACAATTAAGACGTTGGGAGAGGAGATGATTACATTTGATTTTATAAGACATTTAAGTAAACTTCGCTGATTGAATATGCAAATTCAAACTGTCCATATATGCACCAAAGTATAATTTAGAAGTGTAAGCACCAAAACGCTACTGGAAGGAGTATAGTAATAATTACCCTTAGCTTTACACCAATCTTCTTGCAGTCACTGCTTCCTGCATGGCTACAATCTAATCTCACCACCTCTAAAGTTTTGAAAGCCTCCCTAATTCTTTCCACAACAGTAATATACACGCCATTCCTAGCTTAGCACACAAAACATAAATAATTAGGCATGAAAAATAATATATACATATACATACATACATACACATATATATAGTTAAGAGAAGCTACTTAACGCATAAAAAAGCAGAGTTAAGCCTAAGCTAACTTACAGAGCTTCATCAAAGAGGGGGAATTTAGTCCTTTGTTCCTCATTGCTTTGGTTTCCTCAAAGGTCAGGCCGTCTGCAATATTTTTCACGAGCCTTGGATAAATTGGCGCCAGTGGCTTCCATAGCATTGGAGGAATAATTGGCCTATTTTCGGAATCATAGTTTCGACCACGATACAAAAGGAGCGTGTTAATATTTCGATAGATGATTTTTCCGCCTGTTTTATCCTGTCATGGTCATAAAAAGATTGCAGGATTACCCTTGACATATGACTTTTGGAAGCATTCTAATGCCACAAATTTATTTTGGGGTATATACATACATACCGCCCAATTCTTATGTATGTGTACATATCTAACATCTAAAATATTTCTTATTACATATAAAATACCACAAATTTTACTTTTTAAGAAGTGAAATACACCTTTTCATGCATAGGTGAGGTGGCATATAGGTAAAAAGTGAAGTATAGGTGTTGGATATGTAAATATATAAGAATTGAGTGGTATGTATGTAAATCTTCCTTTATTTTTTCAAAACTACCTCAAGGTGGAAGCAAACATTGTCCATGTCAAGTGTAGGAACTCCAAGACACTTTATTCTCACAGCATCGGCTCTTTTCCAGTGATTGTGGATGTCATCTATCATATTATGAGTTACACCACCTCTTCCTAAAAGAAGCAAAATATAGAAACAAAAACCATTCATCCTCGGTCAATTTCATGAGACATCTTTTACATCGATCTTTTTTAAGCGTTGTGCGATTAATTTACGCAGCGTAAACTCTAGATAAAGGAGACATTTTGTATAGGTTTTACCCTTATATATGATATATCCCATCGTTTTATTACATTTCAAAATATCTTACATGCATACCATTATTACAACATCTGCCATGCAAATATACACACTCAAGCAAAAGTTCATATATAATAATCTATGTTTGCTAAGTTGACAGCGGTAGTTATAAAAATGCTATAATGAATTTGAGGACCTGTGGTAAAACTAAAACGATAGCTTAAGAAACGATTTATATTAAAAGAATAGGAGATGAAACTCAAACAAGAATTGGTTTGGTGTGGATTAAAGTTGCGAATGAGCGGTAAAATAGATTTTTAAGACTTCATACAATAATCAATCAAAATAAGGGGCATTACATATACTGCACAATTCTTATGTATTTACATATCTAACACCTAAACATCCATATTTACATGCATGCCACTCAAAGCTTTAAGGTCACTTCAATCACTTCAACAATACCATAATCACTACCTTTCCAAAATTGAAATACACCATTTCATGTATAGGTTTATAACACCAAGGTGTTATAAATGTAAATATCAAACTTTAGGTGTTAGATAAGTAAATACATAAGAATTATGTGATATATAAATTGCCCTAGAAATTAATGAAAAATGATGATGGGCAACCACAAATTCTCCCTCCCTTCCACTATTTTGCCCAAAGACCTAATAAAGCTATGGGGGTTATCATCATCATCATCAACAACAACAACAACAACAAAACCATTATCCCACTAAGTAGAGTCCCTACGTGAATCATTTTCTCCATTGCGTCCTATTTAGTGTCATATTTTCATTTAATTCTAATAAATTAAGATCATTTTTTATACAATATGCCCAAGTCTTCCCGGGTCTACCTCTACCTCTCCTAATATAAGTTGAATATAAAGCATCTACTCTTCTAATCGGATCATCAGATGGTCGACGTTTAATGAAATCAATTGATGCTAAATTATTCTACACCAAATCAAATCCTATCTTTTAACTCCGTACATTCCAAAATCAGAATGTTAGCCCATGATGAGCCAAATTCATCGCAGGCTTTGCTTAGGAATATATGAAGCCAAAAAATTCTTCAAGGACAGCTTTCAATATGATACTTAGATGAAATATAAGAATACCTCATTATTAATCCTTGCAAAGCCCCAAATAAAATCTCATGTGGCTTTCCAAGTCTCACAAAGGGAAAAGCTCCATAGTCCAAAAGCAAGCTACGAGATCCCCATATTCGTGCATAAACCAAGTAATATGTGTTATGTGCCAAGCTTCTAAAATTAATTAAGAAGTCCACTAAGTTCCAAAATTATTAAAAAACAAAAATCTCTGGCTGACAAGAAAGTAAAACATCTGAGCATTATGAACGCAAGTTTAGTGAATCCTGCATAAAATTTTCTAAACAAAGAGATAAAAAAGATAACTTCAATGGAAAACAAATATATATATAATATAACAGAAAGCAAACCTAGATTAATCTGACGAGAACAATCATTGTGTCGGTACCGCTCAACGAGCTCCTCGACCTCCTCTTCGCTCAGCGGCTCCCCAAGCACAAACCTCCGTTGCTCTTCCATAGCTCCTTCCGGCAGAAACTCCCCGACTGCAGGAGCAGAGACACCGTTCCATTTCCGGTCAAGCCGGCCGGGACCAAACGGAGAAAAGCGCGGGGGCTCGCGGAACCCTATCGGTCGCACTGAAGCATCAGTCTCAGAATAGGAGAAGCGAAAATCAAATGGGAGGTCAGAGTGGAATGGAGCCGGGGTCTTTCCCTTGCCAGAAACTAGGGTTCTGGGTGGAAGGTCGGGTTTCGGTTGTTTGATTTTGGTTAATGGCGAAAAGGGAGGGTCGTCGGATTCGTCGCGCGGAGCTGCGATTTTCTTTTTGGAGCGGGAAAGGGAATGATGCGGCGAGAGAAAGGAGAGGAAAGAATTGTGGTTTGGTGTTAGGGTTTGAACAGCTGGGCGGGTCGATGAAAGTGGATTACGGCGCATCTGTAAGACGGTGGCGACGGAGGTTTACCGGCCGTTTAGGCTGAGTGATGTTCAGCTCAAGGCGGTGTTTGGTGGCCGATTTAAGAAAGGATTTAGCTTAGGATTGCATCTGGTTGTAGAAGGTGAAAAACCGCTATTCAAAAATTTATGATGAATATTATTAAAAGAAAAATTGAAAAAGTTTAACTAGACCTCAGAAAAATATAATTTTGTCAAACAGCCTCCTAAATGCACCTAAATCTAACTCTCCCTTAAAGTGAATTTTCTCATGTTTTGTCTTTTTTTTTTTTTTTTTTTTTTTTTTTTTTTTTTTTTTTTTTTTTTTTTCATCTTCTTACTAACGTATATCCAAATTTATTAAATTTGTATCGCGGGTGAATTTACGAGATTTATTCTTCCATGACTTTAAAAATATTTTCCATCAACATGGATTTGATAAATCTGGATTTATTATTATTTGACATAAATCTATGATGTAGTCGAACAACGCCCAAGATCAGGCACACTTCTTTGACGTTATTTAGGTAGGGTTGTTAATGATGTGAATCGGCTAGGATGGATTTAAGGGTTGTTTGGCGCAGCTTATTATCAAATTACGTGTTTTCAAAATGTGTTTCTTCTTTCAGGCAGTTTATCGTGATACAAATGATTTCATTTCTATTAAACGCCGATCACAGGTCAAATCCCGCGGCGGCTAGCGTTTTGAGTAAAAATCTTACCTCTATGCTCTGGTCATTGCACTTGCCCTCGTCGTCGCCACTGCCCAATTTTGTTTCTCTATCGTCACGCTAGATAGCTGCCTCCACTTCCTGAACTCTACTTGAAGAGGTAACGGTGGTTGCAGATGAAAGCTTGTTGACATCGATCCATATGCTCTACTTCTCACTTACAAGGAGCGTTGTTCCTGTTGCTTATTTGCATTGTTTGTATTGTATTAGGTGTTGTTCAGCAGAGGATGAGCTTTGCGTTGAAGTTTAAGTTGGAGATCAGTGGCAAGTCACAGGACACAGGAAATGAACCTTGATATGTTTTTTTTTTAATAGAAGTAACCATTGATTGAAGGACGCCAAACGAGGAGAAATGGATATTTTACTTTTTCGGTTAATATTTGAAGTTTATGCCCGAAATAGGCATTCTAAATACAAGTATATTTGACTTGAATTGATTATTTGTTGTCCATGTCTAATTTGGCATTCTAAAAACATCTCTATGTTGAGTATATGTTGTTGAATTTAAGTTTATTAATTTATATATACTTTTAATATTACATGTTGATGACATATTTGTTGAGAATTTAGTTGATTAATTTTTTGCTAGACTTACTAATTATTAAATATTAATTTAATATCCTTCAATTAGCTTAAAATATTGTCTCTATGAATTATTAATTTGTAATTTACAAAGCTAATTAAAGGAAATTTATCTAGTCAAATTAAATATAAAGCATTACTTATATTCATAACATCTGTTGTAGCTGTTTGAAAAATATTTGTAAAATTGTAGAAGATTATATTATTCAAACATTGTGATGGCTATTATTATTTTTTTTTTAAATCAAATCTCAATTTTTTGACAACAGTCATGCTTAGTTAGGACAGGGTTGTAAAATGCAGCTTCCCATCACAGTTTAATGAAAAGTAAGCAAAGCGCAGTTTTGTCAAATCCCACTAAATGTGATGCGGCACCAAATAAGTGCCCCCAAATGCAACTTAAGTTGGTATCTTTAACTTAACTAAGTTATTTCTAGCAAAATTTAATTAGCATTCATTAAATTTCAATTAAAATTATAAATATATTTTTCAATATTTTATGAAGAGTTTATAAATGTAATTAAACAGGAGTTTGTGACCTCATTGTATATCAAACTCTCATCTTCCTCTTATGCTAGTAAACCCTTTAAGGAATAACGAGCAAGAAGTGTCACAACATGTATTGCAAGTAAGTCATTTAAAGGCATTCCCATGTCTTTCTAAATTTTTCTTTCATTTGCATTTTTTTTTCGCTAAATCTATTCAAGAGATGTTTGGTTTCAAGAAGGATTTAATAAATTCTTAAATCATAAATCAGTTGAATCCACTCTTCCGTTGCATTTAGTAAACCCATATCTAAATTGAATCCAATGCAAAATTCTAGAACTTAAATCTGAAAACTCATAAATCCACGTAACTCATGCATTTATTCCAAACAGTGCCGAATTTTGACAAAATTTTTGATTTAGGGCCTGTTTGCGGCAGTTTATTTGGTACGGTGATATTTTGAAAACGCAACTGACCTGTTTGGGTAAACTGCGTTTTGACAACTTATGTGTTTTCAAAACGGAGAAAACAGCATTTTCACACCGCTCCTATCTATGTGCGGTGGGAGCTTATTGACAACGGTCAGACTATTCCAAAAAAATAAAAATTTATAATAGTCATCGCAAGTAATTTATCAGCAGATTATTTTTAATCAACTTATCAGCATATTATTCAATAAGCTACAGTTGACCCAAACAGACCCTCAATAAGTTTAAGATTTATGTATAAAATGGGATTTAAGATTCCTTAGGATTTAAAATGACCATTTTGACTGTTTGGAAAGATTTACATTTTGTAAACAGTGTTGGATATGGCTGCCAAATAGGCCCTTATATTATTTTATGTCATTTATAAATAATATAAAATTCTTATGCATTCACGCTCTAGGCAAAATCATACAATTTTTTAAAATAAAAACATAATAATGATTGCAAACTTTTATTGTCCTTTTTTGTCTTTCCATTTAATTTTTCAGAATATATGTTTTTTGATGGAACAGCAGAGAGACGTGAGTCAGGTTGCAGTGAATATGTATGAGCCGTTGTTTTCTTAAAAAAATGTGTAGGTTACTTAGAGTCTGTTTGGGGCAGCTGCATCTTATTGAATAATTTGCTGATGAGTTGATTAAAAATAATCTGCCGATAAGTTAGGTGTGGTGACTATTACAAATTTTTATTTTTTTGGAAAAGTCAGACCGCTGCTAGAAAACTGGCACCGCACCTAGGTGTGAAGAACGCTGTTTTCAGCTTTTTCAAAAAGCATAGGTAGGTACGATGTGAAAACGCTGTTTTCAGCTTTTTCAAAACGCCATCGCATCAAATAAGCTGCCCCAAACGGACCCTTAGAGACTTGATTTGAAGATTCAAAAAAAATAATAATAATAATAAACATTGGGGATATTCTATGCGAAAAAATTAACTCATAGAGTGAGGAGCCCTTTTTTAATTGTACACATAAATTGTTAAGTAAATGTGATAACATGGTCGCATAAGTTGTTAAGTTGTATCTGAGGAAGTAAGGACATAAAATTGAAAAGAGTTTCACTCCTTTAAATAACTTTCACTAGCAGGCATAAGTTTGGCAATACGAAGTAATAGCATGTAAGTTATTGTGGTGGTGATAGTAACACGTGACCTTTTTAATAAGATTGACAAATTTTTTCTTCTATCCCATTCTTAATTTATAGGACCTTATTGATATAAGGGCTCTTTTACAAGTTCTTTTAATTGAACATACTTGGTAGATTTTTTAGATCTCTTGCATTTTTTTTCATTTTCTTAAATTAAATTACAAATTATTCAAACATACTCATATTTTAATGATCGGAGTTTTTGGAATTCATAATTTCAATATCAATAAGTAAATAATTGTTGACACTTACAGTTGGAATCATAGATAGAGTTGATATGATTTAATTTAATTTATTTTCATATGATGGGGCCTCAAAATTAATTTTGTATATTCATATTTACTTTTATGAGATTGATCAAGTTATAATTATAGGACACACTAAGTTAAATAAATCATTGACCTTGAACTGGTTTAAGTCACCCTTAACTCGATACTTGCCAAAATTTGAAGTCACCTAAGATCTTAGAGTCATTGAAAGTTTTTACATTCCCTAGCTAAAACTTGTTAAGTCACAATAAAAACTATTTTATCAAAACCAAGTTGTTACTCTAATCTCAAGGAATTGTTGTAATTGTATGTTTATAAAAAATATTTAACTATGGAGCTTGTTAGGTCGTTAAGAGTATTGAGTCAATAATTTTGGGGGTTCTAACAAGAAAAAAATGGTTAAAGGATACTCACCCTCATTATGAGAATATGCCTGCAATTTTTTTCTAATGGATAAATATCACCCAATCTCATTCCCCATATAGTAGGTGTAAAAATTCTCTCTACACACACTTACACATACCGTACAATAATGTTGACTTTAGCCTTTGCCTATGAATGGAAGGTCATCGACTCACTGATCAAGAGTTCAAAACACAATTTGGTACTACAGATAAGAATCTGTCACATTGAAATTTCGCGAAATTGCTCCAAAATTTCAGCTTTCTTGAGAATTATTTGTAACCTAGGTATGACCACCATCTTTTATTTAAGATGAAATCTTCCATAAATCTAAATATGTAAATAGTATTACTGAATGTAATCATTTTTTTTTCTTCTTTATTTTATGAGATTGAGCTTAATTAGTCATAAGTTAAAACTGTGGCTCTATAGATAAAGATGAACATAACATTGTTAAAGTATGGTGAGTATGATACATGATTAAAATAAGACTTAGAATATGTAGAGATAAAATTCTTATATGATGAGTAAACTAATGATCATGCAATCCCAAAAAAATACAACCCATAAGGACATTTTATAATGATGATCGAGAAAATCCTTGAGTGCATTACTGCTAATTTGTTGAGTTTTATTAAGAGTTAATCAGCATTCCCTCATAGGTGTCTTCACCAGTCCAAGATTTTTCACTACGACTTCATTCGTCTGTGACACATATCTCTTTAATGTCAATTTGAAAAAAAAATAATTGCCTCTCTTACTACAATAATAAGCATCAATATATACTACAAATATTTTTTTATAGCAAATTCATTGAAGCTATACATTAAAAGTAATTCAACGTGCCTACTTTAGATTCTTATGCGAAGTGGTTGGCCCAATGCAATTATGTCACTCATTTTGATTTTTTTTTCTTAACCAGTTGTGGTACATAGAGATTCAATCTTATTCCTACTTCATGGACTTTAAGAAGCAGTACATTGTATATTTCCACTTCTTTTGTGCTTTTAATACTATAAGTTAAATTACAATATCTGAACACTATTGTCACATAGGCAACACTCACTCATGACTTTTATAATAATCTTGTTTGTTATGCTATCTTACTACATCAATAGAAGATGGTAATTGAGTTTTTGAAGTTTGCTAGCAATCACATTAGTGTAAAAAGGTGAAACAATGCTACTTTGATTTAAACTTCCAATTGATACTATCATAAACCCGCAATAAAGCTCTTGAAAACATCCACTACTTCACGAAATATATCACCAACAATAAAGATAATTTTTTCAAGAAGTCACATCATCATCATTAATGAGTGTGCCAATATAATTTTTTTTTTCTTGAAAGATGATAAAGAATCATTCCACTTACAACCCCAATGTGGACATTGGAAGCTCATGCTTTTGAGAGGAGTGAGAGAGACTACATGTACCTTAGATTTGAAAATAAAGGTAAAGAGATCATACAAATATTATTATTTAATTATATTTCAAGTGGAAAAAGGAAAAACCAAAGCATATAAAATAAGATAGAGATTTATAATTTTTTAGTTAAAAGACATTTATTTAAGTTTAGGACAATGAAGAATAAATAATCCTTATTTGGGAAGCTAAGTACAGATAGAGAGCTTTGGAGTAAGAGAAACACTACACACGTGGGATAGAGATAATAAAGAGAGTATAAGAATTACAATAAAGAGAGATTACATATAAGAACAATTTTAAGTGGAAAGAAGGGAAAAAGTGAGAAAACAAAGATCATAGAGCCTTTAATGAATCATTATTCCAATATTAAAAAAATATACGCCTTCATTAATACTTTCACTTATATGTATATGTATTTGCTTTACCCTTTAAACGAGCCAATGAAAAGGGAATTTATAGAGGATTAAGTTCCTTAAGAGTTTGAAATGATAGTTTTGGCAATTTGAGGATACCAAAATAGTGGAGGCTAGAGTTATTTGAGATATTAATAATGTCATAGCTAGCTAACATATGACATACCACAAAAATATATCAAAAATAAAATGTTGACAATGTTTACACCTAAGTTGTATGACAAGCCTAATAAACTATAACTTTAAGATATGTGTTTTTGATGAAATCCAATTAATGATAGAGTGTTGTGATTTACCTAAATTCTATCTAATTCTAATGATATGTTTTATCAATAATGATCTTTAAATAAGCTTGAACGAGGCACTTAAATAATGTTCAAAAATGCAAAAACTTCTAAGAGAAATCTAATTATTTTGAGCCTTGGGAGACACTCTCAAGGAATTCGTAACTATGATATTTTTTTATAGAAGAATTATTGGGAGAGACTGCCAAAAGGATTTTATTGAGAGTGTGATTATGCTAACAACATTTAAATATATCATACTAGCAAAATTGCATGCAATATAGTGATTATATTAGTGGTTTAAAATGATCCAGAGGATCACACATTGCACAAATTTGTAGCCCTATAAATGAAAAGCATTGGATTTTGAAATATTCATTATTTCTATTTAAACTTAAATATATTGTTGTTTATGTTCTTTATCTACGAGAAATATGAAGATTGAAGCTCTTTATTTCAAGGTAGGTGAAGCAACAAATGTAGTGTGAAGAAAATGATGAAGATTATGTGGATTTAATAGTTACAAGAAGAAGATATTTATGTGCCTCTTAAATGGATGGCTTTTGGTTGTAAAGAAGTTCATGAAGTAAAAAACAATAATGGATCTAGTAAATCTTGATGCTAAAATCGATAGTTGAATTGACTCAAGTCATTTATAAGTTGTCACATGCCAAATTTGAAGTGGCGTAAATACTAATGCTCAACTTCATATATCATGCTATTAAACTCATCGTAGAGGAATCTCAAAGTTGTTTAATCACAAAGGTTATTCTCCTTCGAAACTAAGTTGCTCATCTAAGAAGTTGCATGATAATTATGGTTCTTTTCAAAAGAATCATAATGGTTAATTGCACACGATTTATCACCCAAAGTTCTAAACTCATGTATGACTATCCATTATGCTTGTCCATTATAAAACTAGCTTATACAATTGATATATATAAATCTTGTTATTTTCTATTGCAACTTATCCTTCATTGTTGGATTGATATATATACACCTCTGATAATTATTTTGCTTGGCTTTTGCAAGTATTTGGTGGGTGAACAGGTCAAATAAATGATTTTGATAAAATATCATAACCAAATTAAGTCAAATTAAAAAAAAAAATCAAATCATGACAATCAATGTATTGGCTATTATTGAATTTTTTGGATTGAAATTTTTGGACGAATCTATTCGTCTTAAATCCAACTATGAATTAGTTCTAAAATTTTAGTCATTATATTATAAAACATCTTATTATTTTTTATTTATCAAATAGTAGTTTTAATGAAATATCAATTTGAATTAGGAAAAAAATTAAATTAAATCAAAGCAATTCAATCAATTAATTTGATTTTATTGAAATTTTTGAATGAACCATTTTGGCTTAAACCGATTCAACATTAAATCTTTTGAGTATTTTTGTTCAGTATATATAAAACCCTATTCTTCTTGTTCTCTCATTTGAGCGCTACCTAACTTACTCTCAGCATTGGAGATTCCCTCTTTGTTTGGAGATATGATGCCTGAGTGACTAAAAACTATTTGACAACTTAGTGGATTTAGTTTATCAGAAATTTGGATTTAATGAATCCTAAAACATTTAAATCACAAATTGTTTGATAGGAAATCTAATAAATCCATTTAATTCATGTTAAACTGTTTGACAACTCTTACTATGATTTTAAAATAAATTACAATTGTTAGAATAAATAAACATGATTAAACTGTGATTATTTCATTACTATGCTAAAATTTAATTAATTTTCATTCTAGTAAATTAAAATTGTAACCAATCATTTGATATTTAATAATTATTCATCAATTAGCTATTTAGTTAATCACTTGTTCATAAATTTGATTAATTAGATTAAGAAAACAAATTTTAGGTAATTACTCATTAAGTTAAATTATTGAAAATATTAGTGCAATTTAATTTTAGCATTTAAATCTATTAGTTGGAATATAAATTTAATAGTACATATTAAAGATATAATTATTAAATCTAATTAATGCAATTAGATTTTATTCCTGATTATACTAATTAATAACAAATTATTCTTTAAAGTAATAAACCATTAAAAATAATTTTATGAAACTAATTATTTATTAAGCAATAGTTTAATATTTATTAATTGATAATTAATTAAAAAAATTATTTTGTTAACAAATAATTAATTATACATTTATTAAATAAATTAAATCTTAGTAGTATTTAAATGGATGCCACCTAATTTCTATGTATTTATATATTTAACATCAAACTCTAATTTTTACATTTATATCAAACAAATCATTCATATCACAAAAGAAATTATTGCTATTTTAACTTATACAAAATTAAATACAAATTTTCATACATATATAAATGGCTTGTATGAAAGAATTGGAGTTTTGGTCTTATACATAAATACATAAATTTGAGAAGGTATGTAAGTAAATCTTCATAAACTTTAATATGTAATTTAATTTTTAATAATTAATTATAAAGCAATTATTTCTGTGCTAATTATTAGTTTAATAGTATATTTAATAAATTAGTAATTTCCAATTAATTGAAATAATAAAAATTAATTTAAATACCCAAACCTTACCCTTCCACTCTTCTGCCCAAACCCTAGTCCACCTCGCTCGCCCCCCTCCGATTTAGCCCGAAACCATCGCCTCTCGTCGCCCACACCGTCGCGACACAGTCGCGACTTGACCTAGGTGGGAAGCCAACGAAGGGATCGCGGCGTAACAAGACCACCCAAATTCCCATCTTTCTGCTCCTTCCGCTCCGCTCCTCCCCGAAACTGTTGAGGAAGGTAAGCGATCTTCCACTTTGAGCCTCTTGCGCGAGGTATCGGGACTTTAGCGCTTTCAAGAATTTACTAAATCCGCCGAATAGCAGGATTTACTGAATCCTCGATTTCTCGGAAAATGGGCGAAATCTGTATTCAGTAAATCCGGGGATTTAAGATGTCAAAAGGTCCGCTTGGGAAGATTTATAGGTTAAATCTCGCTTAAATCCTCTTTTAAATTCAATACCAGACAGCTCCTTACTCTTGTACTTCTGTGTTAGATATCTATAGCGGCAATAAAGCTTGTCTTTGGTCTCTTGCGGTTGGAGATCGACGATAGGTACTTGGTGCTATTTTCTTGCAATGAATTATGCTGATTGTGTAAAGTCTGAGGTTTTTCACGCCATTATGTTTTAAAAGAACGGCATACATGTTGAGTTTTTTTTTGGGACATGGCGTAATATCAGCTTTAAATTTTACGTGGCTATAGGTTTCTTTGGTGCGCGGAAATTTCCTTTCGAAGTGAAACAATTATATGCAAAATATATATATTTTTTAGCAGGATTCAACAAAAAAAATATACAGTAAATTTATTTAATGATTAATTTTGCTCACAAATTTGCTTGAAAGCAAAAAGCTCTTGAAAAGTGTTGTAGTAATTGTAACTTCAGCAAGGTACTCTCCTAACGTCAAAGTAAGCTTACATACTATGTCATTCTCCTTGAGTTCTAGTTGACTTTGTTGAATTATAATCTGTAATGTTTAACTGCATTTGTGTAATTTCTTTTTTGTTGATTTCAATTCTCAGTTTTCTGTTATGGAGAAATAATTTGCTTTAGTTTCCTAATATTGTAGGTTCTCAGTGCTCTTATTTTAATCAGCATCAAGCTTTGATTAAATCATAGTGTGACCATGGCAACCTTTGCAAAGCCAGAGAATGCTTTGAAGCGGGCCGAGGGTGAGTTATTTATTACCATTCTATTATTTAATGACGATCTTTTTGCATTAGAAAATATGGTTGAATCATGTGGTATTATTTCAATAGCTATAGATAATTTCGCTTTTCACAAAAAGTTCTTTTGACTACTCATTCTCTCTCAATAGATTTATAGTTCTCATGTTTATGCCCCCTTCCATATTTGATGTAACCTTTTATTTTCAGTTTTATTCTTTCTTAGATTTGTCATGGTGAACCCTCATGAGGAATATCATGTATCTATATTAACTTATATATTAAACAACTAGTTTTCTATGTTTTGTGTAATTACAGAGTTAATTAATGTGGGTCAAAAGCAAGCAGCCTTACAGGCCCTCCATGATCTCATCACTTCAAAGCGCTACAGGGCTTGGCAAAAGACTCTTGAAAAGATTATGTTTAAATATGTTGAATTATGTGTTGATATGAGAAAAGGAAGATATGCGAAAGATGGTCTTATACAGTACCGCATTGTTTGTCAACAAGTAAATGTCAGTTCCTTGGAGGAGGTTATAAAGTACTTTATGCAGCTTGCTACTGAGAAAGCGGAGCAAGCTCGGAACCAAGCACAAGCTTTGGAGGATGCATTGGATGTAGAGGATTTGGAAGCGGATAAGAGACCTGAAGATTTGATGCTAAGCTATGTGAGTGGGGAGAAAGGAAAGGACAGATCTGACAGGGAGCTTGTGACCCCATGGTTTAAATTTTTGTGGGAGACGTACAGAACAGTTCTTGAAATTCTAAGGAACAATTCTAAGTTGGAAGCTTTATATTCTGTAAGTTATTTGTAGTTTTTGATTATTGCAAAGGAACTTTCTGTTAGATTTTGAAGTAATTTTCTTCCAACTTGTGTTGGAGCCTCTTCTTCTAATCATTAAAATTGATATAATACTAGTAGCATGTTATTTTATCAACATAATTTTGCAATTTTCACTTCACAACTACTACTCAATTGAATGGTGATAGAATTTGGTGGCTCTGGCATCGGATTTCACTTCCATCAGTTGTAAGTTTGTTTGTATTGGTTTCAAACAATGTACTATACTTGCTATAAATTATACATTTCTGATGTTTGTAGTAAATCGCAAGATATACTTTTTACATTATACATTAAAGAAAGTATTTTTTTTAGATAATTTGATATCAAATTTGAAGTTGATTATTCAAGTGTTCAAAATTTTACACAAGGATTGTTTTTGAAACTTTCTTTTTTAGTGATAAAATGTTTTTTACACAAATATTGATGTTAACTTTTTTGAAACTTTATTTAATTTTGTACTACTTTCCCTCTTCCCGTTTGCTATGATCTTTTGAGGTTGCAGACTAGCTTTGCAAATTATTTCTTTGGCAGATCAATAATTATTTTAGATACTTAGCAGTGTATATATTATTACATATTTTTTTCTTGCTGGTAGGAATTGATGAATGGATAGATTGAAAGGTTTATTTGAAAGTGTAGTTTATAATTGTTAAATTGAAAAAGTAATTACATTTTACATTTTGTTCCTTGAATTGATTATTAACTTTTTTTCTTGCTCTAATGACACTTCAATTGAGGAATTATTTTAGATTGTTAATGGTTAACAAATCATTTTGATTTTTTCTTTACCATGAAATTTATAGATGACAGCACACCGAGCGTTCCAGTTTTGCAAGCAATATAAGAGGACAACCGAATTTCGCAGATTATGCGAGATTATACGTAACCATCTCGCTAATTTAAACAAGTATCGTGATCAAAGGGACAGGCCTGATCTCACAGCCCCTGAAAGTTTGCAACTTTATTTAGATACGAGATTTGAACAGCTAAAAATAGCAACTGATCTGGAATTATGGCAGGTTTGCAATGCGATGTCATTTGGATGTCCTACTTTATGATGCAATTTTTATTACTATTTGCTGATAATTTTTTTTATTTTGCTTAATGAAATAGGAAGCCTTCCGTACTGTGGAGGATATTCATGGCTTAATGAGCATGGTGAAAAGGCACCCAAAACCTTCCTTAATGGTTATATACTATGCTCGGTTAACAGAAATATTCCGGGTCTCAGAGAGTCATCTTTATCATGCATATGCCTGGCTTAAGCTCTTTACCCTACAGAAAAGCTATAATAAGAATTTAACCCAAAAAGACTTGCAATTGATAGCATCCTCTGTTTTACTGTCTGCGCTGTCAGTGACCCCATATGATCATTTTCGCGGTTCTTCCCATATGGAAGTTGAAAATGAGAAAGATCGCAATTTGCGAATGGCTAGCCTAATTGGTTTTAATATTGATCCTAAAAAAGAAGCTAGAGAGGTGGTATGTTTTTAATTCTTTTCTGAAGTTTTTATCTTTGTTAATTTGTCTGCTTATTCAACCCTTGCTGTTCTGTCTTTTGACATTTGGTTTATAATTTCCAGTTGTCTCGGGAAGCACTCCTTTCAGAATTGGTATGATTCTAAACTTTATTACTACATTGATGATAATTTGCATTTCTGAAAAGCGCAATTTAGATTGGCTGTGGAAGTAATTTGTGTTTTGTTTATAATTAGATTGAAAAGGAAAAATAACAGCAAATTAAGTTTACATGAAATATCTTGACATGCAAAGTTAGTTGGATTTGTTTGTAATTAGATGTGTTTTTGGTTGTGTTTTATTTTAATTATTCAATTGTTCCAGTCTTCTAAGGGTGTGATGGCATGTGCTTCCCAAGATGTGAAGGACCTTTATTGCCTTCTCGAAAATGAATTCCTTCCACTTGATCTCACAACAAAAGTTCAGCCTTTTCTCACAAAAATTTCCAAACTCGGGGGAAAGCTTGTGTCGGTTTCTTCTCTGCCTGAAGTGCACTTGTCTCAGTATATTCCTGCTTTGGAAATTCTGGCTGCTTTAAGAGTTTTACAGCAGGTGCCCAACTCTAATGACACTTGCAGTAGTTCAACAATTATTAATCTGTTAATTTTTATGAATTATTTTAGAAATTTTATTTAACTAACTGCCCGATTCTTTTCTTCAATTGTATTGTTTTTAGTATACCTTTTCAACTTGCCATAATGTTTGGGAGAACTTGGAAATGTCAAGCCTAGGAAGTAACTTGTGCTTTTGCATAAAATCTTATCATTAAATGCCTATTTCACTAAATGAGCATCCTTTTTTTTCCTGCAGGTTTCGAAAGTATACAGATCAATTAAAATTGAGACACTGTCCAAGATGATACCATTTTTGGATTTCTCTGCAGTTGAAAAAATTTCTGTTGATGCAGTAAAATATAAATTTGTTGCTATGGAAATTGATCATCAGAAGGGAGCAGTTATATTTGGTAACGAGGTATTGACTCACTTTATCCTTTATTAGCCAGACTGGGAAGATTTATTTTTATTATTTTATTCACTATTTAATTTGATCCATGTTATATATTTGTGACGGATAATGTGGTTAAATACTACTCAACTTTTTCTAAGTGAAGGATTGTGTCCTCCAGGGAATCCATTGATGTGGATATTTATTCTGTTAGTAAGAAATGGTGTTCCGGTGGTAGTGGATGGTAGCACTGATTGTCAGGAGTATTTAGGGTTTAGGGTCTGAATGGAGAAAAATTGATCACAGTATATGAAGTTAAGGTTCTTTGAGCTTACATATGCCAATATATTGATAAAAACCTGTTGATGTTATGGTTGTTGGTATAATTTTTCAGGCTTTGATTCACTATGATGAATCTTAAGGGTTAATTTGGTGATTCCCTCTTAGCTCCCTCTTCAATTAGGGTGTCAATTCCGGTCAGCAGGTCGAGTTTGTGAGCGACCCGAAATTTTCCCGACTTGCGTAGAGTTAACCCGTACTTGAACCAAATAATAAACATGTTGAAAACTAAGACCTGAACCCAAACTTGACCTGCTTACTTGAAACCCAATCCAAAATTTCGTGATTATTCGGGTCATGTTTGGCCTTTTTGTTTCAACCCGCCGACCCGAATAATAAATTGGTTGAATTCTCTTATCTGAACTTGACTTGAAAAATATTCAGGTCAACTCTAACCCGAATTTTTTTGAGTCGAGTTCGAGTCATGTCGGCATGTTAGGTCAATTTTTAACACTCCTACCTTCAAGGCCCTTCTTACTTTTCTATCCTTCTCTCTTTTTTTTTTATTGAATTTGAAGATATGAGATATATTAAGTAAATTCACTGATCATGATTCTCTATCATTTGAACAACTTTTATATCCTAATTGGAACTCGCTTTGTCCATTCTTGCTTACTGTTATTTATCTTATGGAATACAAATACATATGAAAGTTAAAATAAGAGAATTGTGATAAATATTGCTTTCGATTAGACCCAATAGAAGTGTGAAATGACTATTAACAGCAGCAAAAAAAATGGAGCCTTAATTCGGATGAAATTTCAATTAAGGACAATCTTGATATTGACATTTTTAATCACAGATGTAGAGATGACACTCATGGAAGAAAGGATAAGGAAGTTGTTTACAATTATGTTCCCTTTTAAATAACGGAAATATCATACAATTAATACTCATATTTTACCGATTTATAGAACTAATAACCAACTGAAATTATCACCCAAAACATTGATGAATAAAATAAAACTCCCAGTTGTATTTTTCTCTCATTTAATTTTCAATGGTTCGATTGTTGCATGTCCGGTACACAGATTTGGAAATTCATATGAAAATGCATGCATGCTATGGTTAGAGATCTCATTGCACCTTTTTTATCTGTCTTTCATGTAATCTCTGAATTAAAAAAAAAAAAAACTACGTTTTTGCTAACTAAGCTCGTTGCTCTCCTTACTCTAAAGAAGCATCCTTGCAAAGGGTTTTTTCTTCATAAAGAGAGGAATCTTCTGAGTTTGGGGCTTCATTTTTCTTTTAATTTTCTTTACTAAATTTACATTTGATCTGCCTGTGGAGGGTTGGTGGCACCTTGGCTGTAGCGAGTATCAATACGAATGTAGGATCCATTTTCCTTCTAGCTGACTTTTATAACTCCACCATGTTGTCTATTCTGCCCCTCCCTTTCATCTCAAGTTCTCAAAATTAAAATATTAGATATGGAACTCGTTTCAAGGATAAATACGGTTAGTCGTATTTTATGTTAATCTGCGTAAAGAAAGCATTTTGAGTGGATGATTTTCTCGCAAAATTCATAGATATAGAGAGAGGGAGGGAGAGAGAGATTAAAATATACTTGATTCTAATTAAAAATGTGCAACCAATGTGTTGAGTATATTAGATAGGGTGGATGTTCTGATGGCATGAGTTTTCTTTCAGGACATTGAATCTGATGAACTTTGTGATCACCTCGTGGTCCTGGCGGAATCTCTTAATAAAGCAAGGAGCCTCATTTATCCACCGTTGAAGAAGCAATCAAGATTAGGTGAAAACCTTTACAGTTTAGCAGATATTGTTGAGAAGGAGCATAGAAGGCTTCTTGCTAGAAAATCTATCATTGAGAAACGCAAGGAAGAACATGAACGTCAGATGCTTGAAAAGGTTGAGTTTTTTACATTCTCCTGAAACTCTGATAAGATCAATTTATTGATTATGCTCTTGTGCTCATTGAAGGAAAGGGAAGAAGAATCCAGAAGGCTAAAGCAACAGAAGACAACTGAGGAGGCTGAGCAGCGGCGACTTGCTGCTGAATATACCCGAAGAGAGGAGCAGAGAATTCGTCGAGAAATCGAGGAAAGAGAACTTCAAGAAGCTCAGGCATTACTTCTGCAATCAGAGAAAGGACCTAAAAAGAAGGGTAAAAGAGCTGTGCTTGAGGGGGTATGTTAAGAATCGTTGTTATTATGGAAACTCTTTTAAAACTAAAGCATTTGATATTCTCATCTTTTTTACTTTATTATACAACATAAATTATAGAAGTTATTTCTATTCTCTGCTTCCGCCATTCTTGCGGAGGTAGGATCACTGGAGGTTTCAGGCTGTTGTTTTCTTGTGTCTATTGAGAGAACCTTAGTAGATAATACAGATGGTGCATCCTTAACGTTACACTTGCATGATTATTATGACATCATTTATTCTAGCTGGTTTACTGACATTCTTTTGCAGTTTTACTCCTTGATAGTTAATAGAGGGGGTCTTCCTTGTTCTGTAAACTTTTTGTGACTACAACTTGCTTTGTATTATGTTTTTTTTCCCCCCTTACAGTATGGTTCTTTTGGTAACATAATTCTTATCCAAACTTACATTCCTCAGCAATTCTTAGTCTTTTTTTTTAGTTCGCATCAGACATCCATTGATTTTCTTTACTTCTCACACTTCAGGTCTCATTTTTTTTACAATTGTACGGATCGGAGCCATCCATTTTAATTGAGTGATCATTTTTCTTCCAGGAGAAGGTTACAAAGCAGGCTCTTATTGAGATGGCTTTGAGCGAACAACTCAAGGAACGGCAAGAAATGGAAAAGAAACTTCAGAGGATTGCAAAAACTATGGATTACATGGAAAGAGCTAAGAGAGAGGAGGAGGCTCCCTTGATTGAGCAGGCATTTGAGCAGCGTTTGGAGGAGGAAAAAATAATTCATGAACTAGAACAACTGGTTTGTTTTTCGTAACTTTTGTTCTGGATAATTAGTTATTTTCACTTTGTTTTTTCTTATTTAAAGTTTTTCTTTTGAATCCATCATTCTACTTTTGCAGAAGGAGATTGAGCTCAGCAAGCAGCATCATGCAGGAGATATCCAAGAAAAGAATAGGCTAGCTCGGATTCTGGACAATAAGGTTTGTTCATGGCGTCGAGCCTTCCCTTAAATTAGTTTTTTAATTAATTCCTTTCTCTCATTGACGAGAAGTATGAACTCACTCTAACCAGGGCAGCTCAATAATTTCATGAAAAGTCACCAAAATAGCTCGTCTTGCCTAAGTTCATGGATTATGGATTAGTTTGGAGTAAATATGAATAGATTATCCATCGATAGCTGTGTTTAATTTTATATATTTAGAATGTTTTTTGTTTTTTTCAGTAAGTATGCATCTGACATTATGAATGCAACTTTTGTAAAGTATGATTATGTTTTGACAGTAGACATCCCTATCATGCAGCATTTAAATGTTATTTTTGTGGGGCATTTACATACATAACCCAGACTTGTTATATTTTTACATATTTAACACCAATACATAACACTAAAATCTTTAACAGCATATTAAAATTACCACTCTTGCTGACTTTATAAAAGTGAAATACACTTTTTCGTGCATAGATTTATAACACCAAAGTTTTATAAATGTAAATATCAAATTGTGTTAGATATGTGAATTCCTAAGAATAGCCTGGTATGTATGTAAATTTTTCTATAAATTTCTTCCCTCCACCAGGTTACCCTACAGAAAAGAATAGAAGGTCGTCGAGAGGCAGAATACAAACGCCTGAAAGAAGAGGGAGAATATCGCATCAACCAACAAAAGGCAACCAGGAAGCACGAGAGAGAGATCAAGCGGAAGCTTCTCTACTACATAAAAACCGAGGAAGAAAGGTTGACCAAAATTCGAGAAGAGGAACAAGCTCGAAAGATTGAAGGTTTGGTTTTATATCTCAATTATTTCTCCTTGTACATAATTTCATGATTCCTTTGAAGAATACACTGACGCTGTATGACAAAAATATGGTCTTGTTGTAGATTATTACTTCACATATTAACACCTAAAATTTGATATTTACATTTATAACACTTTGTGTCATGAAGTTATGTATGAAAAGATGTACTTCACTTTTAGAAAGTTAATAGTAATGATATTTTTTGATGTGATATTAAAGATTAGAGTCTCATGTATTTAAATATCAAACTTTAGATGTTGGATATGTAAATACATAAGTATTATTGGTGTATGTATGTAAATGCCCCATATTTCTTCACTAGAAATTATATGAATATTTTTGTCCTCTGCTTCAGAGGAAGAAAGAAAGAAGAAGGAAGAGGCTGAGCGTAAAGCAAAGCTTGATGAAATCGCAGAAAAGCAGAGGCAAAGGGAGAGGGAATTGGATGAGAAGGAAAGGTTGAGAAAGGAAGCTCTACTTGGAAAGAATTTAGATTCTTTGCCCAGGCCAGCTGACTCTATTACAGGTCCTCGCCCTGTAGAGCCTGTTGCCGCCGCAGCTGCTGCCGCTGGCGTGACTCCCCCAACTGCCACAAATCCTGGTAAGTATGTCCCCAAGTATCGCCGTGAGGGTTTGGCCGTTCCTCCGCCTGAACCTGATAAGCGGCGCGGGTTTGACGATCGCCCTCAGCAGTCCGGCGACAGATGGCGAAGTGATGATCGTGATCGTGATCGTCGAACTTCATTTGGTGGTTCGAGATTGCCTCCGCCATCTTCTTCATCTTGGTCGTCTTCGAGAACACGAGGTTGATGTGGCGAGCTGCTGATAAAAAATGGAGGCTAAAAGTTTGTTTGCTGTTACTTTTATATTAAGTGGATGGATCAGGCACGGTGCTTTTGCTGAAACGCCAGAAATTTTTGATAATTTCTGCTTCCTTCAAGGCTTTTATTTTGTAAGTTAGTTTCATTTGATTTCTGGAAGTTAAGAGAGGCAACTTTCCTGATTGTTATGATATGAGTATGTGTGTAATGGACGGAGAAGGATTAATAATTTTTTGCGATCTTACTGTTTTCTTTTATTTATTTAGAAACTCACCTGCTTTTTTTATTAGTAGTTGTTATCTATGAACATTGATATGGGCAATACAAATAAGTTGTCATCTTTAAGGTTGGCAATTTAATTATGAACATTGATGCGGGCAGTACAAGTATATTGACATGTATAACATTGGTGATTTCATTATGCTTAAGGGGACATAATATGCTAATCTTTCTGATTTTGAGGCTTTTCGGTAGCTCACCCAACATTGTTACTAAATTTCGAGTTTTTTTGGGCTTCAGAAAGGTGACAGAGAATGAAGATGATTGGAAGTAGGAAACTTGTTTTCATTTCTATTATTAGCATAAACCACAAGCCGGTAATTCTGAAAAAATACTAGCTCAACATATCGATGGTAGATGAAAGATTAGTCCAATTAAAAAAAATGGTATACATTAATGATCTACTAGTTCAAAATTTGATTTTTTGAATATAAAATAAAATAAGTAGGAGTCACCATAATTATTTGAACAGTAATTTTTTTTACAATAATTTAACATTCATGAAGAAGCAGATGTGTGGTAGTCATCATTCATGAAGAAGCAAATGATGTGGGATAAAGTAACAAACACTATTAAACAAGTACCAAAAGATGTTCTTGGAAAATCAAAAGAAAAAATATTTACAAATAAAAATAGTTGGTGGTGGAATAATAATGTGCAATAAAAGATAAAATATAAGAAGTTATGTTATAAAAATTGGTTTAAATGTACAAGCTTAGAGAACTGAAAAAAATATCAAACGGCCCGCAGTGAGTTTAAAAGAACAATCTGTGACGCTAAAAATTTTGCTTTTAATGATCTTTATAATAGATTTGATACTAAGGAAGGTGAAAAATATATGTATAAAGTGTATTAAAGATGAAAATCAAATAGTACTTTTCTTAGAAAAAGATATTCAACATAGGTCAGTGTGTTACTTTGATAAACTTTTTAATGAAGTTTCTGAAAATACGATCGAGCTTAGTGATTTTAATATCGTGAATAATAATAAAACGTTTCATTTTTACCGTTGCATTAGCAAATAAGAAGTTGAGGAGGCTTTAAAGAAAACCAAGGGTGGAAAGTCTGTAGGACCTGATGATATCCCAATTGAAGTGTGGAAATATTTGGGAGATTTGGGAGTTTCTTGGCTTACTAAACTCTTTAATATTATTTTAAAAACTAAAAAGATGCCTGAGGAGTGGAGGAAGAGTATTTTGATCCCCATTTTTAAGAATAAAGGGGATGCACAAGAGTGTGCAAATTATAGAGGAATTAAGTTGATGTGTCATACTTTAAAATTATGGGAGAGGGTAATTGAACATAGGTTAAGATGCATCACAAAAATTTCTCATAATCAATTTGGATTTATGCCTGGCAGGTCTACTATGGAAGCTATACATTTATTGAGAGGTTTGATGGAGAAGTTCAGAGATAATAAGGAGAATCTACATTTGATTTTTATTGATTTAGAAAAAGCTTACGA